GCTTCTTCAGGCCAGTGCCACCCAGCACTTGCCCACTCCTCTCCTGGCCTGCCCTTCATAACCCGCTCCTGCTGCTGAGCTGTTCTGCCCCAATACCAGCCCTGCTCTCTGCTCCTCTCGAAGCCTCCTGGCCCGCCCAGCTCAGCGCACCCAGGTTCCAGCTCCCACCGTGATTCAGGCTGTGGCTGCTTTTAATCTTGGCTTTAATTGCAACGCATTTTTTTGGCTGTGGCCCCCAGCCCCGGGCCCATGCTAATTTGCTTCTCCCACCTCTACTGGGGCCGGAATGACCATTTTAAAAGCTGCCTTGAGGAAATCTAATCAAATGAGAGCAAAATCTAATTTGGCACTAAAAGCCTCTGACTGAAGCCCTGTTTTCTGGGGCCTTGTGGAGCCTGAATAATGAACTCTTTCTGGATTTTGTAAGGATTGGGGGTTGGAGAGAAGTGAGCAATGGTGAAAAGCGAAGAGCCTATGAGAAGGGGAGAGCTGGGGATGCTGACATCCACGGTGTTGGACAGCAGTGGGCCAGGTGCCTCCTGTGGAGAACGGAAGCTCATTAGCATTCCAAGCTGCAGGGCCACCAGGAAGACCTAGGCCTGGAGCTTCAGGGACAAACCAGTGGGGTCACGAGCAAGAACCCCAGACCTTTCCTCCCGGCTCATTCCTCTGCAGACGGAGGGTGTGAGATCCTAGGCTGCTGGAATGACTTGTGGTCCTGGCTCCCTCTCGGAAGGCGTGGATGTGTTTCCGGGAAAGCACACATCAAATACAAAACTGCCACACGTCTCGGGGCGTGTGTGGACCCAGGAAGGCTCCCCATCCCCATTGTGTTTCCCGTAGTTTCCCCTCATTGTGGCCTCCAGGACCTGATGTGATCTGGGCCCTCTTCCCAGCGAGGTCGCCTCCTCCCACCCTCTCTGTCCTCGGGTTCCTGCCTCGGGACCTTTGCACCTTGCAGTTCTCCATGCCCAGAGCGGTTTCCCTTCTGTTCTTATCCTGTGGATTCCTTCTCATCGCTCCTTAAGCCTCCCCTGAGCACTGGCCCAGCGGGTGCCCTTCTGGGCCTTTCACGGTGCTGCTCTGTCCAAGCTCCTTTGCGCTCTGCACCGCTGTTAGCGCCAACTGCATCGTCTTCGTTGGTCACCCTGTGTTTCCAGCGCCTGTGACAGCCTTTCCATACATAGGTGTTTAATCCTGCAGTCAGGTGGCCGTAACACCGGGCCGTGACCTGGGAAATGTGTGGCTGGGTGATTTGTCATTGTGTGACTGTCACAGAGGGTGCGAGTGTACCCAAGCTCCATGGCAGAGCCCACTGTGCACACAGGCTGGGCTGTGTGCTCCATTGTGCCACCTGCCCATGCTAAAATTGTCACTAAGCACAGAGCAGGGCTGTGGCTGTCAGAGGGCTGTGTGAAACCGTATGTGCCCTCCGGCCAGGTTTCCCCAAAGTCACCCATTTCATCAGCTGCCATTGTGGTTTTTATGACACCTGGATTCCCTGATTCTGTTAGTCACTTAACATTTTTCTTGTTAAGCTCTTTTGACTTCAGATGTTTCAAAAGAAAACTTCTTGTCCATCGCCCAAGTTGTTTGCCAAGAACAGGAAGTGCTGGGGCTCTCTGACGGAGGTGGTATTAACAGTTCACCCTCTTCCTCACTGGACCAACAGAAAAATAAAACTTAGGATGCCATTGCGCATGCTGGTGAATCTGACGAAGGCAAGGCAGAAGACCGGCTTCCCCCTGAGGCCCTGAGTATCCTGACCAGACCCCAGGTTAGGTCCGGGGGAGCAGCCCACGCCCCTTGAAAGCCTCCAGAGCCAGCATTTCCTGTGGGCAGCTGCCTCCCAAAAGGAGAGCCAAGGGAATGGTGGGGTTCTGTCGCCCCTGTGCCCCTCTGAACCTGCCCATCGTCCATGCCAGGGGTCGGAAGACCTGGAGCCACAATGAACTCAGCCCCATGCCTTCTCCTGTGCACGAAGTTTTCTTGGAACAGAGCCACCCCGTTTGTTTGTGTCTTCTGCTCTCCCCACAGGGAGGGTTGAGCAGTCGCTGCAGGGCCCTCCGGCCCCTCCCAGGGCTGCCTGCTGCCCGCTGTGTGTCACTGTCCCCAGGCAGAGCAGGGCAGGGTGGAGCGCTGCTCAGGGAGGTGGCGTCAGGGCAGGGAGGAGGTCATGGGGTTTATTAGATCTCATTCCCTTAGCCAGACTTGATCTCTAGGGGCCTCTTCAGCCCTTGAGATGTGGCTCTAAAGAACTGAGCGGCGCCAGAGGGCTGGGTGATGGATGGAGTTTTTAAATAAGATCAGGGTTTCTCAGCCTCAGCACCATTAACGTCTTGTTCTGGGTCGTCCTGGCAATGAGCAGATGCCCTGTGCCCTGCTGGGGGGTCAGCAGCCTCCCGGCCTCCAGACACGACCAGCTGTCTCCTGGGGACCACAGGGCTGAGTACAGAGACCAGCAGGCTGCCTCGCCGCCTCCTGCCGGATCCCAGTCACTTCCTCCTTGACTCCCAGCCAGGGACACTCGCGGCTGTTTAATGAGGCACCTGCCACCTAATTACATCTCACTCTTTAAATACTGGAAGGGACTCAGGACTTAGACAGTGCTGCCATCCCCGCCACCTCCTCCTAGGATGGTGCTAGGTTCTCTGGGTTATTTTCACTCTGCCTCCCACGCTGGGGAGGCTCCTTCTCCCAGAGGCTGTCAGGGATCCTCCCTTCCTATTTTTCCCTCCTCTCGCCCAGATCCTCTCCAGAGGCGTTCCCTCAGTGCCTCCCCTACCCCCAGGAGCACGCATGCCCACTGCTTGGGCTCCTGAACTGTCCTCCCTCCTGGGCAGTGCCAGCCCCCTTCAAGCCTCCAGGAAACCCCACACAGGGACCCTCTCCAGGCAGCCTCTGTCCTGGCTCTCTGTGTGTTCTCCAGGGTCTCCCGCCCTCCGTGGGCCTCCCTGCCTCTCTGTCACTGTCTTGGGTTCTGCATTGAGACCCACAGAGTGCTCCCTGGTCCCAGGGCCAGTGCAGAGCTAATAAGACTTCCCGGCATCCCTCCAGCCACCATGGTACTCATTGTCTTGTGTCAACAATCTCGGAGTGTCTCCGAGGCCCAGTGTCCCTATCTGGAAAGAACAGGCTAGGACAGGACCTCTCTCTCTGGCAGAATCCCCTCAAATGTTCCCATTTCTTAAAAATGGCTTTGTGGGTTTCAGTTATGAAAAAGTGTAATAGAAAAGGATTATGAAACTGGGTGTACTGGTACACACCTATAATGCCAGCATTCTGAGAAGCTGAGGCAGAGGGGCACAAGGTGGAGCCCAGCCTAGGCTACCTATAGGGGACACTGTCTCTGAATACAAAGGGCAGGGGATGTAGCTCACGGTAGAGTGCTCCTGAGTTTGAGTCCCAGTCTGGAAGGAAGGGAGGGAGCTCACTAAGATCTGTTTCCTGTCTATTTCCTCATTCGCCAAAGAGATTTTTGTTTTTGTTTGTTCTTTGAGGCAGGATCTTGGTATATAGTTCACTGTGTAGCCCAGGCTGGCCTCAAACTTATGGCAATCTTCCTGTCTCAGCCTCCTGAGTGCAGAAATTACAGGTGTGCACCACCACGCCTGGCATTTCCAAAAAGATTTTGCTACCTGAAAGGAGGGAGGATTTTTTTTTTTAAGTAAACTTAATTGTTGGTGTAAAATACGGGTATGGAAAAGTACTCCACCCCCAGGTGTCCAGGCCAGTGAGATTTCACCAACAGAACCACCAGCATCCCAGCAAGAAACAATAGGACCATCCCCGAAGAAGCCCCTGCCCCCCCCAACTCGCCCTCCTCTGGCATCCAGGGATAACACTGTCTTCATGGCCAACCCATGGGTTCCTCTTGCCTGTTTTTGAATTTCTTGTAAATGGGCTCATGCCATGTCTATTGCATATCCAGTGTATTTCTCTTGACATTGTATTATATGTCCGGTGTATATCAGGTGCATTGAGATGTACCTGTGCTCTCAAATATGGCACTAGGTCTTTCTCATATCTTTGTAGTTTTCCGTTATGTGAAAATGCAGGGCTTTTGTTTTCCCACCCTCCTGTGGATGTACTTTTTTTTTTTTTTTTGGTACTGGGGATCGAACTCAGGACCTTGCGCTTGCGAGGCAGGCTCCAGAACCACTGAGCTAAATCCCCGGCCCCCTGTGGATGTACATTTTGTGTCTGGTCCTGTGTTGCTATGAATAGACTACTGTGATCCTGTTCTGTGCGTGACCTTTAGTGAACGTACAGATGATGCTTTTCAGATTGCTGGGTCAGAAGTTACGTGTTCAAGTTGGCAGACACTGTCAAAGGGCGTTCCACCATGTTGGGCCACTTGGCAAATCCGCCAGCGGTGTTCGAGAGGTCCGGCTGCTCCCTCCCACCACACAGCACTAACTGTTGTCCATTTTTGGTTAGCCATCTGGTCACCGTAATAGGTACAATTCAAAGTGTCCATAAACTTGAATGGGAAACAGTTATACTCTTATTTTCATAAATCTACGACTGAAACTAAGTTTTTGCTTTCGCTATGAACATAGGCCATAAATCAGTGCATCAGCAGAATCTGTAACTTTGTCGCCCATAGAAATCATCATCGCAGCTGTGCTAGACATCACAAAATCCAATATTTTCACTCAAGCTGGGCGTGGCGCTGCACACGGTGGTCCCAGCACTGTGGGAGGCTAAGCCAGGGGGGTTGCAGGCTTGAGCCCAGTCTGCTACCTTAGTGAGACCCTGTCTCAAAATAAAAAGACTGGGGCTGTAGCTCAAGACGGAGGCCCTGGATTCACTCCCAGTAGCACCAAACACCAGAACAAAACACAACAAAAAATAGCGCGAAGGGTCCCTGGGCCCTGCTGGCACCACGGCAAGCATGGTGGAGGCTGTGCTGCCCCCTGGCATGGGCGCGGGGCATTCACGCCAAGTGAGACTTGCTGCCTGCCTTCTCATGTGGCCTCTGCCCCTTGTCCCCCCAGCTTTCTTCGGGAAGTACCTCAATGAGTACAACGGCTCCTACGTGCCGCCCGGCTGGAAGGAGTGGGTCGGACTCCTCAAAAACTCCCGCTTTTACAACTACACGCTGTGTCGGAATGGGGTGAAGGAGAAGCATGGCTTCGACTACTCCAAGGTAAGCTGTGTGCGTCCTGGGGACGGGACACCCACTTCGTGGGTGACCTGGAGCCTCCACTCCTGCCTCCGCTCAGACTCTTCCTCTCTCAGAGGGTCCCTGAACCGTTCTCCAGGCGGCCGGGGCAGGGGCACTGCACAGCAAGCCGGCATGGGGCTCCTTCGGCTTGGCGACTCTTGAGATGGGCCGTGTGGTCAGGTCCGGATTAGCGTTTCGAGGGACGCAACCGAGGATGTTTTGGTTGTCTCCGGTTTGAATCCGTCAGGAATTAAGCTGCTGAGCACGTCCTTGTACACGGCTTGTGGTGCACATCTGTACCTGTTTCTCTCTCTGACCTCCTGACGTGCCTCATGGGGACACACTGTCTATTCAGTGGCTGAGCCAGTTTGCACTTCTGGCCCAAACGCCCAGGGTTCAGGTGGCTCAGACTCCTCATCTGCGCACCGTGTTGTCTTCATCAGAGCCACCTAGCCGTGAGCCAGTGGTGCTGGGCTGTGGTGTCGTCACCATGGTGTCTGAGGACCAGGTGTGTTCAAGTGCGTGAGAAGAGCCCCTTTGCATGTGATAAGTACAGGACACAGAGTAGCTTAGCCCAGGGCAGGAACAGATTTTAGGAATATTTTGGGCTTTACAAACCAGACAGTCTCTGTCGCAGCCTCGCAGTTCTGCCACCGGCCTGTAGGAACAGCTGTGACAATATGGACAGTCACAGGCGTGGCTGCTGCGTGAGTCAGCTCTGTCGCCAACAGAGCTCCTGAGATCACCAGCTTCGCAGAGAAAAAGCGTATTTGACTCATGTTTTCTGAGGTTTCAGGCAGTGGTCTTTTGGCCTTCATAGGACATCATGGTGGGAGGTCTCTTCGCCTCAAAGAAAAACAGAGGGGGCCAGTGGCCCAGTACCCCCTCAAGGACGTCCCCAGTGACCTGACTTCCTTCCTCTGGGCCCCACCTCTCAAAGATCCTCCCGATAGTGGCACAAGATGAGGACCTATCCTTCAACACAGGGGCCTTCAGGGGACATCACATGTCCAACTCCAGCAGCTGTGTGCCAGTAATGCTGTGTACAGAAACAAGCAGCAGGGCCAGGGATTTAGCTCAGTAGTTTTGCCACCTGCTGTGCAAGCACAAGGACCCAAGTTCGATCCCCAGTACCAAAAAAGAGAAAAACAGAAACAACCAGCAGGCCTGATTTGGCCCGGGGTAAAGTCTCCTGACCCCTGGCTTAGATGATGATGGTAGTAATGAGGAGGAAGAGGAGAAACTGGCATCTGTATTTCCCGTTTCCAGAATACATATAGTATATATGGAAACGGTCAACTCTCCCTGCCCCGTCCACATCCTGAGTCTGCTCTGGTATCCACATAGCTGGTACAGTCTTCGTCCTACTGTGAGATCCATCCTGTCCCCTCCCTCCCCAGCCTTCAGATTTATAAATACTAGCACCTCATTCAGACCTTTCTAAACTCCTGCCTGACCCATGGGCTGCAGCCTCTGCGGTGCATCACATTGTCCTTCTGCCACCACCTTCAGAGACTGTGGAGCGAGTGTCTTGTGTGGAGTCAGCACACAAAGTTCGGAGCCCCAGCCCTGACACGCTGAGTGTCGCCTTGTACTTGGGTACAGCACTCACTCCTGAGAGCCTCACTCGGCTCTGGGGGATGGGCACTTCTCTACTATGTGCTGGGCACTGTGCTGAGTGTTTTATGTGAAGTATTTCCCATCTTCACAGCATCACACATGGCGAGTGCACTGATCAACCGTGATAACTCACTCAGCCCCAGCCACAAGTGCTTATTGAGAGCCTGCTGGGTGCCAGCTACTGGGGGGTAACAAAAGCAGACTCATTCACTGTCCTTGTAGGGCTCACAATCTGGCAGCTAAAGGTGTGTCATGAACTATGAAGTGATGTGCACACATGTTAACATCAGAGCACCTCACCACAGTGCGCACACACACACACACACACCAGCCCCGTCTCCTGTTCTGTCAGCCCAAGAGTGAACCATATCAACCAGACTGGCCTTGCCAGTTACTACGCCCTGTCAAAGGCTTCAGGGCTGCTCTCCTGCCCCGTGTTTATCCACAGCTCACTCAGCTTCCCTCCTGTGAAGTCTTCTCAGCCTGCCCTAGTTACATGGTTATCCTTTCTTGACTCAAACTGGCTTCTTTCAGTTGTTTGTAAACAGGAATTCAACTCAAAATGGTTTGAATGGAGAGAAAACCTGTTCGCCTACTGAACTGAAAATCCGGTAGTAATGGTATCAGGCGTGGTTGGACCCAGAAGTCACTTCTTTCTCTCCTCTCTGCTCTGTGTTCTTGGTCTCTCACCTCATTTACAGATGGACTTTCCCTCCCCTCCTGGTAGCACTGTGGCCACCCTTACATCCTCTCACTTCTGCTGGGCTGCAAGCAGGGGGTCTTTCCCAGGATCCCCAGCAAGTCTCCTTGCTTCTCATTGGCCCTGAAGCATTACATTGTCTGTCCCTGAGCCAATCAGCATGTGTGCGTCTGAGCCCTTCCTAGGAACACAGGCTGAGAATAGAGGCCCAAACAAAATGGAGTTGCCACTGGCCCAGCAGCCAGAGAACCCCTTGCCTTCCCTTTCTGGAGGCACAGCACATTCTGGGGCTCTCCTGCCTTTTGACAACAGTCGAGGCTGATAGCTTCCTGTGTGTACATCAGTTAGTTCAGACCCAGGGGACAGAAACCATGTGTCTCCCGTATAGCACCCACCTGCCACCCCCTGGTCCTCATTCAGCACGTAATCAGCTTCCATTACTTTCTTAGCAATTAATTGCAAAGTCCTGGCGAGGAGAGAAAATGAGCATCCCTGCTGGACTCCTTGGGAACAGAAATTACAGTCTCCTAGGGCTGAACACACTGTCTGCCTTCTAGCCTCAATGCCAGCAAAGTCTCTAAATATCCTGCAAACCGTTCCCTCCTCTCATAATGCCTCCTCGCACTGCGCTCGGCTCAGAGAAGCCTGGAAATCAACTTACCCAGGGGCCCTTGGGGCTGAGGCTAGAACATCTGCTCTTTCGCCTGCTTCCTGCCATAGATCATGCCCCACAGATGGGAAGAGCCCCTGAGGTGGGGTGCCGGGATTCCTGGGCTCCCAGCGAGCAGGGGCCTGGAAACAGAAGCATGATGACAGGGACACCAGGGGGCTTTGGGACCAGAACTGGCTCAGGTCCAGGGTTCAGATCCTGAGAGCAGCATGGCAGATGGAGGCACAGCAGTGGGCTGGGGACTGGGAGCCCGGGCTCAGGGCCTGTGCTTGGTGTCTCGGTCCGCCTGTGTGGCCACCATGGGACACCTGAATCTGGGTACTTTTGTTTGTTTGTTTTGTTTTGTTTTTTCATACCTGGGATCGAACTTGGGACCGTGCCCTTGTGCGGTAGGCGCCGGAACCACTGAGCTAAATCCCCGGCCCATGAATCTGAGTACTTGATAAGGAAAAGAGGTTTGAGAGGCTCATGATTCTGTCTGGGTGGCCCAGGTAGCGTAGCACTGGCTTGTGGTGAGGGCCCCTGGTGGCCTCACAGCAGGGAGAAGAAACTGGCAAATGTGAAAGGGTCAGGTGCACAAGGCAGCGGAGGCAAGCATGCAAGCCCAGAAAGCCAAACGCGCTTCATTAAGACCTGCTCTTGAAGGCACTAGCCCAGGCCCGGGAGACCTGACTCACTCTGGAGACCGGCATTAACACCTCCCCGGCCACACTCCCCAGCCCAAGAATGGCTTTTGTGCTTTCAGCTAGCTTTTAAAAAGTTAAAGTAGGGCCGGGGATTTAGCTCAGTGGTTTCTCCGCCTGCTGCGCAAGCGTAAGGACCCGAGTACGATCCCCAGTACCAAAAATTTTAAAAAAATTTTTTTAAAAAGTCAAAGTAAAAATCAAGAGTAATTTTCACGTGGTATATACAAACTGTAGAATGTTATTCTGCTTTTAAAAAGAGGCTACTCCTGCTGGGCATGGTGGTACATACCTGTAATGCCAGCATTTGGGAGGCTGAGGCAGGAGGATCACCATGAGTTCAAGACCAGTCTGAGCTACACAGCGAGATCACTACTTGCAGTGATCCAAGTGCTGGGATTACAGGTGTGGGCCACCACGCCCGGGTCCCCTTTCACTGAAGAATCTAAAGTCATGAACTGCACAGAAGCAGAAAGAAGGGTGGTTGCTGGCGAGCAGAGGGACGGGGAGTTGCTGGTTAGCTGGTGTAAAGTTGCAGCTATGCAGTGAGTAGGCTCCGGAGTCCTGCTGAACCACGCTGTGCTTACGGTGCCAGTCCCGAGCTCTACGCTTAGAACTGTGTTGAGAGTCGATCTCCTGTTTTCTCTCTAATCACAGTAAATTTCCTAAAAGAATAATTTTCATGACACGTGAAAACCCATGAAATGAAAACTTGCTCTCCTAGAGCACAGACGCGACCACGTGCTTCCGTGCCTCAGTCCTCCCCGCTGCACTCACAGGAAGGTGTCATTGATCCCTGCCCAAAGCCGCTGTTACCTAGCGCGTACGACCTCTCACTAGTAATTCTCTTGTGGGAAATAAAAAGGTGGACCAGATGCCCCAAAATAGAAAGGACTTGGTGCTAAGCTGTGGGCGCATTGCTTAATCTGTGACCTCCGTTTCTCCCTCTAAGATGAGTACAATATCCTCTTCTCGAAGCTCGGTGCTGATCAGTCGAGTTCATGGATAACAGTGTGAGCCTCTGCTGGTGATGGGTTTTGGGGTCCGGGGCTTTCCTGAGTGCCGTGCTCTGGGCCCTCACCCCACCGTCTGAAGACAGGACAGCTCATTAGCCCACTTGCTGGGTGCAGAGTCTGAGCGTTCAACAGTGTCAGGCCTGGAGCACCCAGCTAGCAGGGATAAAGCTGCGTTTGAACCCGCTCTGTCTGACTCTGGACCCATTGTGAAGTCTCTTTTCTCCTGGAAAAGATGCAAATCTCTTCAGAAACTTCTGGGGAAGCCCAAGGTTGAGGGATGACCACTGTGATTTGCAGTGGAAATTAGAGAACTCTGCTGCCTGTGGAAGCCAGTGGCTCAGGAAAGGGAGGCCCTGTATTTATGGCTGACTTCAATGACTGACTTCCTAGGGAAGAAAGCAGCTCCAGTGGAGGCTGCCACCCCACACACATACCCCTCACACCGGGGCTGGGCAGTGAAGCCCTTGGTGTCCAGGCCCAGGCTTAAAGGAACCCTTGGAACTCATGCGGGGCTTCCCCAGCAGAAAAGGTAGGCCTGGAAAGAAGGGAACTCCAGTTTGGGGAGATGCCCTGTGAAATTTGGGGGGACTCCTTGTCTCAAGCAAGTAAAACAAGGCAGAAACTCAGGCTTCCGAGGGACAAGAGCGTGAGCAACCCCTGGGAGGCATCAGCAGAGCCACCTTGGGGCTCACCTGTGCCTTTTTGTCCTTCTGGTCACTTTCCCAGCAGCCAGAGCAATCTTGAAGGAGCCAGAACATCCACCCCGAACAGGAGAAAGCACCCAAGGGACAGGACCATCCCAGCCCTGCACAGACACAGACACCGCTCATCTGTGCTAAGTGAGGGCATCAGCTGTCTCTTTAGCAAATAAAACAGATGAGGGACTGACCCACTCTGCTTTGCGTACACAGCCATGGTCAGGTGACTGCTTGGGGAACACAGGCTAGCAGTCCTGCAGACGTGGTTAAGTGGGTGGCAACTGGGGATGCCTCCAGGAAGGCCCCAGAGCAGGTATCCCAGCCACCCGGCTCTCTCCAGCGGTCCCTTCCACATCCTGGCAGAAGCAGAGTGCCAAGCCCTGGCATTGTAGCCCACCTGCTCAGGCATGCTGGAAGTGTGCAAGGCAAGGGCTGGTCCTGCTCACACCGGCTGTCCTGGCCTGGGTGTGGGGGCGGGGCTGGCCTCAGCAGTTAGTGAACAGGGCACAGCCTCCCCTGGGGCGGTAGTGACCAACTTGTCTTCCCACCTGCTCACTTGGTTGACCCCCCCGACTGAATCTCGAAGACCTCCCCCGTGGCCCACCATGCACATCAAACCCGCCTTGTCCAGATCTGAACCCTGCACACGCGTGCACACACACACACACACACACACACACACGCAGTCCACCTCACCCTCGCCTGTTCTCTTTCTCCTGGACCCCTGACTTTGTACCCTTTCCCCAGCCACCCGAACCAGAAGCCAGTAGGGCCAGGGAGCCACCTGTCCCATCTTATGCCCTCCTCAATCCAGTCAGTGACCTGGTCTGTCTCCCTCCCACACGAGGCTGCAGTGTCACCACCACCACGCCCAGACCCCAGTCCTTCACTGTTCCCTGTCAAGTGGCCAGAGAGATGCTGGTTCTCACTGGCCTCCCCAGGGTCACCGCCTGCAGTGGAGCTGGGGTGGCGTCCCCACCCAGTCCATGTGGAGGGAGGAAGGAGGAATGTGCTGATGTCGCTGCAGCTGTCGGGGTAGCAGGCAGAGAGGAGGGAAGACTGCAGGACCAAGAAGGACGAGCAGCTCTCGGGCAGGCAGAAAACCTGCCAAGCGCCAGGCTATCATAATTCCTGGCTTAATCTTATCAAGAGCCGACTGTGCAGGGCACAGTGGCAGGAGCTTAACAGTTATTAGCACTTGAAACTCTCAGCCCGCCTGAGAGGCAGGGGCAGAATCCAGTGTAGGACTGAGGATGTCACAGAGCCCATGGGAGCCCAAGTGTCCCTTCTCAAGCCTCATCCCCCTCCTGTCCTGCCGCCTCTCCTGGAGGTGTCCAGGACCCAGATTTGGTGCTTATTGCTTTATGTCAGCGGCAGGTATCCCAGACATTGCACAAGACTGTGTGTTCTTAGACATTTTTTTTTTTTTGGTACTGGGGATCAAACTCGGGACCTTGCGCTTGTGAGGCAGGCGGCGGCACCACTGAGCTAAATCCCTGGCCTCTGAGACTTTTATATAAGTAACGCTATATCCACAGTCTGTCTCACCCAGTGTGACATCATAAGACTTCTCCATGTTGGGACATTTAGCCATCGTCAGATGAAGCCACGTGTGGCCCATGTTGATCATGTGGCTCTGGTTTGTTCTTTTTCACTTCACTCCATAACTCCTCCCATTGTTATTCTTGTCGTGGGAATGGAGAGTCCTGGAAGCATGATTCAAAATGTCTACTAATCACCCACCAACAGTTTTCTAGCTCTAGAACCCAGCAGCGGATATGGCTTGGTTGTGAAGAGCAACAATCCTCTTTCCACCCATGCCACTGGCCAGAAGCATTGAGTTTCAGCTGGTGGTTCCCTTTGTCACTTTAAGAACATGTCTAGCTGGGTGTGGTGGTGCACACTTATAATCCCAGCACTGGGGAGGCTGAGGCAGGAGGATCACTGAGTTCATGGCCAGCCTGGGCTACATAGTGAGTTCAAGACCACCCTGAACTATATAGCTGTCTCAAGAAAAAAATGGCTAGTGCCTTTAGATCATGCCTATGGCTATAGCACCAACTCTGTGATTTATATAATATATTCTATGTAATAGATTCAACAAAGCCCCCTTCTCAAACATTTTCTTACCCATTTTTAAGATCACTCCATTAAAAACAATTGAAGGAAAAATATAAAGAAGTATAAAGTAGCAAGTGATATCCTGCCCTTCTCTCTCCTTTTCCCAGTCCTCAGTTAGCACTTGATAGCTATCCTTACAAGTTTTTCCTTGATGTTCAGAACTTCGAGGTCAGGGTTTGGCTTCTCCTGTCTGCTTTGCTTCCCCCTTCTCCTCTGTCCACTGGCCTTTCCCTTTCGGTGTATTGTGGACAACTTTCCACACCAGTGACCACCAACCTACAGCACAGCATGGCATGGTGTGGCAGCAGTCCTGTCAGTCACCTGTCCCCCTCTGCTGCTGGTCACTGCACTGTGCATCTGCTCTGTAAGTGGCACCCCAGTGGTCACCTCTGTTCTTGCAGACAGAGGACACATGTGCCTGAACTGTGTGCCTGAAATGCATGAAGCCATCACAGCAGGGATACATGTGGGATGCTTGGCTTCAGGATGGAAGCTGAAGCCCTCTTTTTATCTTTTTTTTCTCGAAAATAATAATCTCTCTTTTTGAAAGTGATACTTTGGGGCAGATGCTTTTTAGGAAGCAGAGTAAATTTTAAAATCTCAAAACCATCAGGAGGAATCCACAGCTAAAGATTTACTAAGTTTTAAAAGGGCTAGGGGGCCAGGGATGTAGCTCAGTGGTATCGAACCTGCCTGGCAAGCACAAGGTCCTGAGTTTGATCCCCGGTTCTGAAAAAAAAGGGGAGAGTGGCTTATGCACATCTCGACCTCTTAGCTGAGCTTTTAAAGCCCTCGGTTTCTGGCTATTTTCTTTTCCTTCAGTTCTTCTGGTGCCTCAGTTTTCTGAAGACTGTGTGTGCTGTGTGTTTGTGTGTGTGTGTGTGTGCGCGCGCGTGCATGCGCACATGTGTGCTGCTCCTTGTATCATCTGTTTTATCTACTGTCATTGTCACCCTCTTTCTGAGGCGCCAGCTGTCACCCTGCTGTCTTCTCTGGTCCTAGGACACAAGGCAAGCTCTCTCTCCTTCAGGATCAGTGATTCTCAAGCCTGGCTACACACTGCCATCCCGTGGGGAGCTTTTAGAAAGTCTGTCGCCTGGGCTGAAACACAGGCTTATAGCACCTGCACTTGGAGGTGGGCCTGGCCTGGAGGGTCAGTGAATCCCCCAGGGGCTCTAGCCGCAGCTGGGCCTGAGGTCCAAGGGTACACACGTGCCTGCACCCAGCTCCTGCTCATCATTGAGGTCTCAGCTGCCACCTCCTCAGACAGGCCCCCTGGCTGGCCCGGCTAAATTCTGTTCCCCCATGTCAGCTCCCAGTTCCTCTCAGATGGCACATCTCCTTGTCTTACTTCCTTCATTCGTCACATCTTGTAACAATCCTGGTTCTTTATTCATGTTTGTCTGCTCCTGTCCCCAGCGTAGGCCCTAAGGGGATATAGGGATGTGCCCATCCCACAGTATGGAACTCCCAGAGACTTGAAAAGATGGCAGACTGAGGAACCAAGACTCAAGAGTCCTGGGTCCAACACTTAGCAGCTGTGTGACATTGGACGATGCACTAAACTTCTCTGTGCCCTAATTTCCTTTTTGAAAGATAAGAATTGTTGTCACATCCACTTCCTATGATGGTATGAGAATTAAGTGAGCTAATACAAACAAATACAGGATAGTTCTTGGCACATCATAAGCACTCGATGTTCACTGCTATTCTTTTAATGTCTATCTCTCACGCAGGAATGACAGATGGCAGTTCTTCCCCAGTGCTCCCCAACCTGTGCTCTGCTGCTTCCTCTTCTGAGTGCCACACCATTCTGTACCTTTCACTTGCTGATTTCCTGTCTGTCTGGCCTCTGGACTCGTTGGCTCCTCAGGCCAGGGTTGGTTTTGTTGGCCGCTGTGTCCCAGTCCGTGCGTGGCACCTACAGGCACTCAGTACACATACACGGCTCCTCACCGCTCTCCTCTCTCCCCGCCAGGATTACCTCACAGACCTCATCACCAACGACAGCGTGAGCTTCTTCCGCACGTCTAAGAAGATGTACCCACACAGGCCGGTCCTGATGGTCATCAGCCACGCAGCCCCTCACGGCCCTGAGGACTCGGCTCCCCAGTACTCACACCTCTTCCCCAACTCGTCCCAGCACATGTAAGCCTCAGCCCCAGCTGGCAGAGCCGCGGGGGAGCTTGGAGGTGGGAGGGCCGGGCTTTAGGGATCACGAAGACGGCTGGGCCTTCTCGAGTCCTCCCAGCTGAGGACCCCAGGAACACACCACTGGCCTGTGGCCGTGCTGGGATCCAAATCCAGCCAGCCTGGTTACAGACCAGAGCAGGAGGTGGAGTCCTTAACTTGGGACCCAGGTCTTCCCACCACGATCAATGGCCAGAACTGCACTGCAAAGCTTCCTAATGAGCCTGTGGGTTTTCTTTCCTACATTTAAGAACGTTCTTCAGAGAAGGGGCCCGGAGCTCCCCCAGCTGCTGACCGTGGTGGGCTTGGTGCTAAGCCTTATCACATGGCATGCGGTCCCTTGGTACTCACGGTGGCCCTAGGTGTATCAGTCACCCAGTGCCACATAACGCTGTGCTCAGACATTGAGCAGCAAGTGTCTGAGTGTCAGGGATCTGGGAGTCACTTCTCTGAGGTCCTGGCTCAGGGTCTCGGGTTCAGGCTGAGGGGAGGTGGCAGCTGGGGCTGTTGTTACCCGAGCCTTGCCCCTCTGGCTGGTTTGTGCCATGTGGGCCCCTCCAGGACTGCACAAGTGTCCAAACAAGACGCTAGTGGCGACGGGGTCCTGGGACGACACTCGGAGAAAGAGGCCAAGGTGGAAGCTGCCGTCTTATATGCCCAATCTCAAAGTGACCCCATCACACTGCCGTGTTCTGTTGGTCACACAGAACACGCTGTGTAGGGTTGGGATGACCAAGAAGTGGGGACCGTTAAGGGCCATCTCTAAGGGTGCCCATCACATGTGGGGCCCCATTTTGCAGATGAAAAGACTGAGGCATGGAGAGGTGAGGTAACAGGTACCTGAGGTCACCCAGCTGCTCAATGGCAGAGCTGGGATTCAAATCCAGTTCCCACTGGTGTGTCCCATCTCTGCCCACCCCTCTAGGTCTCCTCCATCCAGCTGGCTTGGTTTATCTTTCTGGAAAGTACTCTGGGTTTTCATTTCCACAAACCACCTCCCACTTAGCCATGATACTCATCAGTCCTTTCTGTGACATTCCAGGGCCACAAGGACGGGGCAATTTGGAATCTGCCCAGACATTCAGGGTGTTTAATTTTCATTAAGATCAGAATACATTGCCCTCCTCACCCACCTCGCTGTAATGACTTTCTGACAGCACTTGGAGTGGCTCAGAGGGGAGAATACTGGGGTGTTACCTTGTATACCACACCCCCCACCCCCGCAGAGGATCAACTGCCTTCCTGGGGCCACAGCGCCACCTTCAGGCCCAGGCCGGCATTGTCGCCTCTGCACATCAGACTGCCTGGCTCCTGCACACCTGCTCCCCTCCACCCTGGGGTGGGGTCCCCAGCCTCCCTTCCCACCCCTGGCTTCCGTGATCCAGGCCACCCATCCCAGGGACAAAAAGCAAAGAGGGCCTCTGCAGCTCCTACAGAAGAGGGGTTGGCTGTACCCCCGTGGCTCCGAGTTGTGGGATGAGATCATTTGACATTGCCTGCTCAATTGTCCCTTTGAAATGAAAATTACAGAAATTGAAAATGAGCAGCACCTGCTGTTGCTTACTCAGAGAACCCTCTTTGCCTCATTAGGGGCAAGTTTGGAAGGCTCTTTTGTCTCTGGGGTATAATGACATCAAAAATTCTGCAGCTAGGACATTTCATTATGACATTTCATTCAGTCAAGGGGGGCTGAAGAGGGGACAGACCACACAGTGCAGCACAGCGCTGGGTCTTTCTGTTGCAGTCTTTGGTCAGATCTCTCTTGCCCCCAGCAAGACTGCCTTGTCCCTTGTCCCTTGTCCCAGCTGACAGATGCCGCTGCCACCGCCTTACCCTGACCCATTTGCCCATTCCCCCTCTCTGTGCCATGCGCATACATACACTGAAGTGTAGACAGAGGTACACACCAACACAGGCCACATAGACGCCAGACAAGACAGCCACACAGCACAAACACACCCGCACACACATACACACAGTACAGACACATACACAGACACACACATGCAGACATACCATACACATATACCAACACATCCACACAAACAGGTACACACAGACCCGCAGACACACAAGAACAACTAGTTATACAGACACACAGATGCACGTATAGACAAGTACACACAGACACATACAGACACACAAAAAGAACACACCAAAAAGTACAGGCATACAAACACACAGAGGTACACATAGATAACCAGATACAAAAGCACAGGTTAAACAGATACACAGGCAAGCACACAGGTGGACAAGCACACTGATATGTAGCGCAGACACACAGCCATTGGCCCACGGAGTTTCCTTCCCTGGTCTTCTAGTGGGCTCAGGGCCACCCCTTTCCTCCCTGGGGCTGTATTACAGCCTGGAGTGGACGGCTGCTATTCACGGCTCTCAGGCACGGCCTGGGGGCCCAGTCACCCACCCGAATTCCGTCCCAGGGAAAGAAGGGGCTGTTCCCTTGGGGCTGAGGGGGCGCCCAGACCTTCCCCAGGTGCCCGGGGAGAAGAGAGGTTCGCATGGTTGTTCAGGCAGAGGGACCATGCGGGAGCCCTGTCTGATGCAGGCGGCTTGCTGCATGGGCCCCCAAGGCATGGCTCCTTCTTCTGGCCTCAGAATCTCTCAAAGGGATCTCTTGGCGAACAGGCTGCAAAAGTCACATCATGGACCCCCGGGCCCTCGGAGCCTCAGACCGGCTCTGACACACCACAAGGCTCAGCAGCTCTGCTGACCCCGCCCCGCAGCCCTCCTTTCAGTCCTCAGCAGGAAGGAGGCCTTGTTCCCGAGAATGTTCAACACACAGGTCAGGCCCTGAGCTGGCCGCAGGGGAGAGCAGCGCTCTCATAATCAAAGGAAGCGTGGGCCAGAGAGGATTTAGCAGCAGGAGGCTACAGATCGGAGAAGTCCAGAAGGAGTCTCCAGGCTATAACTTCCACCCACTTCACATAGCAACGGTCTCCCCCGTCAGGCTGCTGAAAGCTGCAGCGTCATCATGTCTAGGGGCACTAAGATCCTGAAGTGGCAGGAGTTGGCCCTGCACTTGCAAGGCCTGTCCTTCCACTCCCTCCTGCAGCCCCTCAGCCCTTGATATCCAGAAGCATCATTGGCTGGGGCGGGGGTGGGCTGTGAGGGGGACCTGGGCCTCCAGCGTCATCAGACCCACCATGAGAGATGCCCCCTCCTCGGGATGAAGAACTGTTTCCTAGTAGTGGTGTAATGCACCTGGAGACCCTGCATGTTGGTGGGGTTTTCGGTGCCTCAGGTCCCTAGGTCCGCCTGAGCAGAGGCGACAGAAGGTCCTCTTGGTTTGGGATGGAGTGACACGATACTGGAACCATACAGAGTGCCAGGGCCAGGAGCTGAGTTCATCTTTGTGTTTCTGCTGCTTAATTCTCCTGCAGGAACCTCTCAGTCAGTTTTGCCCAAGCACCTGTGATGTGAGGGGCCCTAGGCTGGCCCTGGGGGCTGTTGGTGCTAATGTGGGGGTGGTGGGCATCTTGGCTGCCTGAGTTCAAGCCCAGTGTCTGCCTGTGGCCAGTCAGATCCCTCCTTCCTCACCCAAGGAGAGTGAAAATATTACCAGCTCCTCAGACTGTTCTATTAAATGCGATAGTAAAAGCTGAGTCCTTCAAACTACCCAGCACATGGTTGCTGCTCAGTAAAGGTCTCTGTGTATTTGTCATTCTTCACTGTAGCTGCCACACACCAGGAAGCCCAGGGCCCAGGGCTCTCTTCCTCACTCAGTGAGACCCTGAGCTGGTCCCAAACTCCTCTGACCAGCTCTTTAGTAAATGAGAGGTCCAAACAACTGGAAAGATAATTGTGAATCTTTTTTTTTTTTTTTTCCAGTACCGAGGATCGAACTCAGGTCCTTACCCTTGTGAGGCAGGCAGCAGAACCACTGAGCTAAATCCCCGGCCCAAAGTATTGCACTAAATTCTACAGCTATTTTTTTTTTTTGGTACCGGGGATCGAACTCGGGTTTGCACTTGCGAAGCAGGCGGCAGAACCACTGAGCTAAATCCCCGGCCCTGGAAAGATAATTATGATAGTTAAGGAACATGGTATGTCCCTGATGTGGGCATCTGGATGCCATCCTCAAAATTTGGGCCATATGTGCATAACTATAATGTACTTGATTTTTAAATCCATCCTTTACCTTTTTAAACCAAAAATCCATTACAGAAGGACACTGTATAGATCCCTCCCCCACAGTGACTGCCCCTAGTCACTGCTGGAGCAGCTGAGAAACACACACAGTGGTTCTGGGAAATGAGACCCCAGCTGGCCTGCTGAACGGGGCCCTCTGTGTTCTTAAAAAAGGGAAATGAGTGAACTCCAGAAAGTGTCACAAAGACTGGCACCAACCTCAGGCTTTGGCCTGAGACAGCAGGAAAGGGACTGCTTTTCTCCCTTTGTGGTTCAAGGTCACTCTGTTCCACCTCCCAGTGAGAGGGTGTTTAGCAGAGCCCCGGCACACCAATGTCCCTCATCCCCAAATAGAGCAAGCCACCTATGATGGCCGCTCATCCGAGGTGCATCTGGGGGCCCAGGCCAAGTACCTCGGCCTGACCACTGTGTATCTGCCACCAGCACACCGAGCTACAACTACGCGCCCAACCCGGACAAGCACTGGATCATGCGCTACACTGGGCCCATGAAGCCCATCCACATGGAGTTCACCAACATGCTGCAGCGGAAACGCCTGCAGACCCTCCTGTCCGTGGACGACTCCATGGAGACGGTAGGTCCCCCTCCTGGGCTTGGCCTGAGCCCCAGCCACTAGGATTGAGCTCTCCCTGCTTGTGCCTGAAAGCCGTCAGCTGGAGGCAGGGAGAGAGACATGCCAGGGTGCTGCTAGACCTAGGAAAAAGGCTTGGAATGATCCAGGCCAAACCTCTACCTTCATGAAACTTCCATTCTTGATCTGTGCTACCCTGTGTGGCAGCCACTTGTGGCTACACTTCTCCCATTTACATTTTTAACAGCTTTATTGAGATCTACTTCATATACCAGTAATTATGTTCATTATTGGGTGAATATTGAAGTCACTCAACTGAAGTGTACAACTCAGTGGTTTTAATATATTCAGAGTTGTGCAGTCACTTCCAAGTTAATTTTAGAACATTTTCATCACCCCAAAAGCCCATCAACTTCACTATGGCACTCCAGCCCGTCTCAATGTCACACACACACATGCACACACACATACACCACACCCCTGCAACCACTGGGCTCTGTCTCCATGGATTTGGAGTTCTGGACATTTCGCATAAATGGAGTTACAAAGTATATGACTTTTGCCACTGGGATTTTTGTTTATTTGTGTGTGGGTTTTTTTTCACTTAGCACAGTGTTTTCAGGGTTCATCCACAGTGTAGTGTGTGTTCAAATTCATTCTTTTTATTGCTGGATCGTATTCCATTGTGTGGATGTGTACCACACATTTTCTCCCTGGCTACTCAAATTCATTAAAATGCCATCACATTTACATTGGGCTCCTCAGTCACACTTATCACAATTCACATGCCCAGTAGCCCCGGGCACTAGCTGCCACCACACTAGGGAGTGCAGCCTTTAACATTGCCATCATCACAGAGTTCTGCTGGGCAGCGCTGTCATAGGGCACAAACTCCTGCCACAGGCCCCATCAGGCTTCTTTCATTCATTGGTTCATTCAGTGGCATTTATTAAGGGTCAGTGTACATGGGACACAGCAGGCAGGGAACAAGATAACAAGAGTTCCAGCCCTGTTGGAACTTCTGTAATGCAGAGAGCTGTAACCCAGAAGTAAGAAATAGAAGATGAAAAGTACCCTGAGGAGGGGCTGGGGATTTAGCTCAGTGGTTCCAACGCCTGCCTTACAGGTACCAAAAAAAAAAAAACAGTACCCTCAGGACCTGGGGAAGGGGGGGTGCATTATAAATGCGATCCTTGGGGTCTTGCTGGGAGGTGACCTGAAATGAGTGAGACCAGCTTGGAGCTCAAGCCCCTTGTCACTCACTCCTGGGTCAGTGGTGGGCAGGGCCCATGGCCCACTGCTCCTCAGCTCCTGGCCTCCGTTGCAGATTTACAACATGCTGTTGGAGACAGGAGAGCTGGACAACACCTACATCGTCTACACCGCTGACCACGGCTACCACATCGGCCAGTTTGGCCTGGTGAAAGGGAAGTCCATGCCATACGAGTTCGATATCCGGGTCCCATTCTATGTGAGGGGCCCCAACGTGGAGGCTGGCTCTCTGTAAGTGCATCACCCCCACTCCTGGGCTCCTAAGGGCTAAAAACTGCAGCCCAGCAGCCAAGTCACACCCCTGGGTGGCACACGATTACAGCAGTGCCAGCTGAAAGAGCCATTATGTCACCCTGGTGGATTCTGACCCTTCTGATGAGGAAGAAGCCAGGAGCAGTTAGCACCTGTGAAACAGATTGTTAGTGGTGAGGCAGTGTGCCAGGAAATCAGGGCAGGGCGTCTCCCCAGTCTTCCTAGCAGGTGGGAAAGGGCCTTGTTCCTAGCATCTGTTGGAGAGGAAGCCCAAGCTTCCGCCAGGCAGCCAGTTACCCTGACAGCAGCTGAGCCAGCTCCTGGGGGCAGCACTGTGAACCATGTCCCTCCCGTCCTTTCCCAGGGACCACGTGAACCGCAGCCCTCAGCCAGCCATTCTCCTTGGCTTAACCTTTGCAATGACGCTGCTGACAGCAAAAGTGCTCTGTCTGGGGCAGGGGAGATCAGAGCAAAGCCAGTAATCGTGGCTGCAGCTGCCGAGGATCAGTTGGGGTATCAGGGAGACCAGCCCAAGCGAAGGGAGGTTGGAAAGGCAGCTCCCCCGCCATATGCTCTCACTTCTCCAGTCCCCAGAGGAGGAAGCATTTGCAAGGATGATGCCATCAAGAAGCTCTCGCTTTCCATCTCTCAGCCTTACCTTCTCTGAGCTGGCTTCACCTTCTAACAGCCGTTTGTTTGCTGATAGCAGGATCAGATCAGCAGCTTCAAACTTTTGGCCATCCAGCTTTGGAAACCAAACATGGTTGGAAGAAAAGCCCCAAGGATGGCTCTTACTGTTCTGGTTTTGAGTGTAGCCCTGCACCTCTCACTGTAGCCAGGGGTGATAGAAAACCTGGGAGACCAGGCCAAGCACATCAGGCAGTGGAACCTGGGCAAGGCCTGAGTCAGAAGCTATTGACCCAACACAAGCCATGCGTGCTGGCTGGGAAAAGCCACCGGCGTCCTTCCCACCCTGGCCAGGTGGGACCTCAGCTCCATTGTTAGCTGGCTGCTGGCATGCAGGATCATGCCTCCCCCTCCACAGTGTTCTCCAGCTCCCACGCCTGCAAACTGAAGCCTCTGTACCTTGTGTGGGCCTCAGAGCCCTTGCACTATGCAGCTTCAGCCCACCTTCCCCGAAGCCCCTCGCACACTTGGCAGCCTGTGCAACACTCACCAGCACTGGGCTGGAGAGAGGCAAGGTTCTTGAATGACTGGGAAGGGATGGGGAATGCATCTGTCTTGCCCTCAGCAGGCACTGTGCCTGTCACATACACCATACTGAAAGCACCACAAAGGAGACAGGAGACAGGAGGAGCGGCAGATCTATGGTAAATTCTCAACAGGGTCCTAGGAAGGGCTCTGCACCGGGTCTGTGCTGCAGTGCAGTCACCACAAATGCAGCAATGTGAAACAGCGCCCGCACTGCCGGCTCCTCTGTGGTCAGAGGCCGGGCCCACTGTTCAGGTCCAGGTGCACAGTCCGCACTGGCAGACTGCGGCAGTGCACATGGAGGACTTGAACCTGACAGCCTGCCTCCCAAACTGTCGCAGGGGTCCTCACTGGGGGCACACGTATGGCAGCTTGCTCTTCAAAGCTGGGAAGATGACATGCCCTGTCACACGAGACACAGGGACAGTGCATCCCTCACCATCCTATTGGCCAACCACAAGTCCAGCTGCACCACGCTCACGTGTGTCTGTGTGTGTGTGTGTGTTAACTGGGGGGGGGGGCAATACTGGGGATTTAGTCCAGAGCTGCCTTTGCAACGAGCTACATCTCCAGCCCTTTTTCCACTTTGCAAGTCATTAAGTTGCCCACACTGGGCTCCAACTTGGGATCCTCCTGCCTCAACCTCCCAGAGACCTGGGATTACAAATGTGCATCACCATGCCCGGCTAACTCCTCGGTAATAGTTGAGGAAAGAACTTCAGGGTGAAGTCGCTGTCCTACAGATCTCTGCAGAAAGAACATTAAGGCAGAGGGCACAGCAAGGGGGCCACTCACATGACAGGTGGGAGAGCCTGAGGCCAGGCTGTGCCCAGCTCCAGAGGGGCAGCAAGGGGCGGTATGTGCCCTGAAGACCTGATGGAGAGCCCTCCTTCAGTGGAGCAGGGGGTCCACCCAGCACTGTGTTGTGTCTGGAGGCTTAGAAGGCAAGGGGCTGAATGCAGGGCAGGGGCTGGCTTGAGTTGGGGCCACAGGAGAACTGTTGAGGGTTGAGGTACCACAATGCAGAGTCCTCACCTACAGCCAACAGTCCCTGGTGACCCCTCTGCCTCCAGCTGCCTCTCCCCTAAGCGAGGCCAGGTGGCCAAGTCCCTGCTCTCCCTGTCCGCTCAGGAATCCCCACATCGTCCTCAACATTGACCTGGCCCCCACCATCCTGGACATCGCCGGCCTGGACATCCCCACAGACATGGATGGGAAATCCATCCTCAAGCTGCTGGACATGGAGCGGCCAGTGAACCGGTGAGGAGGGAGTGGGGCAGGTCCAAGGGAAGGGACACTGGGCTTCCCAGCCTGTAAACATTTAAGGCTGACCATGTGATGTGGGTCTGGAGGCGGGGCTCTATGCCCCCCCGCCCCGTGCTGACCACCGACCTGCTACAGGAGAGGAAGAGGGTCCCTCTTAAGATTTGGGCACTCACCTGGACTTGAGGACCCTGTGGGGCTAAGCTTACACACAGCCGGAAATAACAATAGCAACAGTATAACCATAGGAGTTCGCTCTAATTGAGCCCCTGTTGTGTGCCAGGTCTTGTTCTAAGTGCTTTGCAGGGGACGCTGTCATTTCCATTCTCACAGTAACTTGGGAGTAGGCATTCCTTTTATCTCCATTTTACCATCTGGGAATCTAAATCCCAGAGAGACTGGGTGACCTGTCAGCAAGTCTGGATGCAGCTCTAGGAATTCAGACTCTTTGCTTTTAATGACGGGTAGTGTGATGGGAACATGTTCCTAGGTGTCCTAGGAGCCAGAAGGGAACCGAAATGGTGATCAAAAAACAGGTGGGAAGGGGGAGCTGAGCCACAGCAGGGAAAGGCGGGCAGAAGCGACATCTAGTGGCCAGTGCTGACACTGCACAGCAGGCCCCTGGGCCCAGGCGTTACTTCAACCTTAGGCTTGCTCTGATGGCTTCCTCCTTGCCTCCCAGAGTCTAGGCCTGGGGGTGCTATCAGTTCACACTGAGCCTCCTCCTCCCAGTTAGAGGCCAAGTGAGTATGAGAGTGTACATGCATATGCGTGGGGGCAGACACTGCCTTGGAGGCCAAGAGCCCTCGGCATCAGGGCACAGTGGGAAATGTGCTCTTGGCCTTGGTGTGCCCATTTAGCAAAGGGAAAGGGTAGCGTGGCATTACACGAAGCGCACACTCCAGGACCACAGCTCCAATTCTAATGAAGCAAAGGAAAAATTCCCCATGACAGCATAATTAACTGGAAGTCCAGACCACTGCCGCATCCCTCCGGGCACTGAGATGCACATGCACAGCCGCAGTTTCAGACCCACAGCTTGGGGCATGGGGCCACTCACCTGACCACTGCCCAGTCTGGCATCTGGACTGTGGAGCAGGCTGGCTGTGGGAATAACTCCTGCCCAAGAACAGGAGGATGTTAGGGAGAGACCCCCAGAGAAGAAGATGGAGCACGCCTGTTTTCCAGGTTTCACTTGAAAAAGAAGATGAGGGTCTGGCGGGACTCCTTCTTGGTGGAGAGAGGGTGAGTTCAAGGGCGCTGAAGACCTGGTGGGAGGGGAGGAGGGAGAATGTTCTGACGTGGAGGCCATTCCTAAAGCCCGTAACTCGGTGGCCTGTGCTTGACGCACAGTTTGCATCTAGAGGCCGTATGTGCCCTTTGACATGTTTTGTCCAGCCTGGATAACATCATGGTTTGTTCATTTATCGCCAACTCATGCCATTCAGGGGGTTTCCTATAAAATCCCAGTTTCTAAGTCCTGAAACTCAGCAGCTCTGGTCAGCTGGTCCACATCCTCCACAGTGAGGGTGAACCACAGTGCCAGGCCTCCTCCAGCGCTGAGGCCCTGCCCCGTCCCCCACAGCAAACTGCTCCACAAGAGGGACAGCAGCAAGGTGGATGCCCAGGAGAACTTCCTACCCAAGTTCCAGCGTGTGAAGGACCTGTGTCAGCGCGCCGAGTTCCAGACAGCGTGTGAGCAGCTGGGGCAGGTGAGGCGACCACCGCAGCCACCCTGCCGCCTCCCTCCTCCCTCCTTCAGGGCCTGCGTGTGGTTCCCAAAGTGCCACAGACAGCACAGTACACTGGGACACTCATAGCAGCCATCCCCGTCTCCGTAAGCTCTGGACCTGTCGGGTCAGAGGACAGTGTCCTGTGGCGTAGGTGTGACCTTGGTTCCTCACCAGCCTCTGACTGTTACACAAGGGATCCAGCAGGCCACCACAGGAGTTAACTTTATTTTCACTCTCTTCACTTTTATGGTTTCCTCTTTGTGGCTGGTCTTCCTTTTATAGGAATAATAGGAAACGGTTCTGAAAAAGTGAATTGACTCTAAGAACTATTAGGGTAGCGTTCAGAGATGGCGGGTGCTGACTGGCTTTTCTGAGGCCCGGGAGGTTGAGGTGGGTTCTGGAGGGGAACGGGGAGGGGGACTGTGAAGGGGTACAGGTCAGGGGGTGGTGCTGGGAGGAGGCTGGGGCAGGCAGGCAGGAGGGGACACTGCCTGCCTCACAGGAGGGGATGTGAGGGGCAGGAAGCAGGAATGTGCTATCCGCCACCAGGTGAGAACAGCCTGGTGACGAGGTGGGTACAGCAAGCAGGACCTTGCAGAGCAGGCAAGGACACTTCTATCACAGCTCTAGCTTCTCCTAGCTCTGTGACCAGGGCACATCCCTCTGCGTCTCTGTGCCTCATCTTGAAGAAGGCATGATGACAGCATCTGCCTGCCTGGGTAGAGCAAGTTGCATTTAACAAGTTAGTGCCCACCAGCCAGTGCTTGGCATGTGGTAGGTGCTCGGTAACCACAGGGAACAGATCCAACTGATGTCCTGGGAAGCTCATGTGAGCATAGAACAAGCCCTAAATAAGCAGGCAGCAGGTCAGAGCAGGTGAAAAAAGCATGGAAGAGAACCCTACTGCAGGACCCAGGGGGGCTCTAGGAGGCTGGAACTTAGCAAGAGAATGAGAATCAATAAGAGATTATGTACAGATACCTTTCTGACCAAATGCTGACAACTGGATGTGTGCATGGATACTGACTCCCTTATATGGATCTACTCCTTGGGGAGAGGGGGAAAGGATTTTAAACGAGGTGATCCAGGAAGGCATCTGCAGAGAGATGACATTGAAGCAGAGATCTGAAGGGTGAAAAGCTCCAACTTCATGAAGAGCTGGAGAAAAGCATTCTAGAGCGCACAAACAGCAAGGGCAAGGGCTCTGGGCCAGCAGCACATTTGGGTATCAGAAGACTTTTGGGGCTGAAGATGGAGCAAGGGCAGAAGAGTAGGAGGATAAAATGCCTGAAGAGGAGGGGGCAGAGGCCAGACTGCAAGGTACAGAAAACCAGAGCCAGTTGTGTGGGTCTTTTCCTAGAGACAAGAGCTCTTGGATGGTTTAAAGTAGGAGAGTGATGATCTAACTTGTCCTTTTTAAGGACTCCCCTGGCTGTCCTGTGCACATGGACTTGAGCAGGCAGAAGCAGCTAAACCAGGGGATAGAGGCTCATGCTGGTGGTAGCTGCAGTGAGGTGCAAGCAGTGACAGTGGAGATGAGCAGGCACTTGCAGGTGGTAGGGGTAGGGCCTGGCAACCACTGGGTTTGGGCAGGGAGAGGGCTGTCCCTGGTTTGGTGTGCAGGGTGACCGAGACCCTGGAGTCTGAGACCCTGCTGTGCCTTGCAGAAGTGGCAGTGCGTGGAGGATGCCTCGGGGAAGCTGAAGCTACACAAGTGCAAGGGCCCTGTGCGGCTCAGCGGCAGCAGTGACAGAGCCCTTTCCAACCTCGTGCCCAAGTACTACGGGCAGGGCAGCGAAGCCTGCACCTGTGAACATGGGGACTACAAGCTGGGCCTGGCTGGACGGCGGAAGAAGCTCTTCAAGAAGAGTAAGTGTCACAGCCTGGGCAGAACTGGGCAGGAGGAGAGCATCCTGGGATGTCCCATTTGTTCAAACAATTCCAAGGACATTTGCCTCTTTGGCCAGGTATCATTCTAGGAGCCAGACACACACCAGACCCCTCTTGAGCCACTCCTTTCAATGGGGATAGCAGTGATAACATACATGAGGGGTGCTGCAAAAGTGGGGTGAGGAAGCACAGGGCCTGGCAGAGCTCTTCGGACCCTCTCCTGGTGGGCAGGAGCCAAGATGAGATGTGAGATCTCAAAGGCCCCTCCAGCTGCCAGGTATGAGAGAAGGGGGCTGTCAGGGATGAGAGAAGCAGGAAGACAGGAAGGACCCTGGCTCAGAGACCTGACCAGAAGCCAGTTGGTGTAGGCTGGGCCCTGGCATCAGAAGAGGAAGTGGCTGGGTTCCAGATGGGGCCCAAGTGGACAGCCATCAGGGCACGCTGATATAGTCAGTTCATTCTTCACAGGTTCCTCATTTTGCAAATTCACCTGCTCCTAAAATTGAGTTGTAGCCCCCACATTAATGCTTGAGGCACTTTTGAGATGACTAGGGACATGTTTTGAGTTGATTAACATGTTCCCAGCTAAGAAAGCCTAAGGATAACCTTCCTCACTTCAACTCCCACACTACAAAAGTGTCCTTTTCAGTCTGTTTAGTGCCACACATTCCATGCTTCTATGCCTCGTTGGGCACATTTTGGGCAATTTGTTTAAAAGTCCCCAAGTGCAGCGCTAAGGTGCTAGCTAGGGTTGCTAAGCACAAAAGTCCATGGTGTGTCTTATGGAGAAAATACATGGGTTAGGTGAGCTTCCTTCAGGCATAGTTGTTGTGCTGTTGGCATAAGTTCAAGGGTAATGGACCAGCAACGTGTTTGGACTGTGTCCTTATAGTGAAGCACACTCACAGGGCTCAGTATTGGTGGGGTGATGAAGTGTTGTGACCAGAGGCCACAAGAGCCTAGCCCTGTATTTCCCCCAGGGGCCATAGTTTAGTATTTAACTCAGTGTTTGAGTGACCTTATAGGGCATGAATAAGTACTGTGAATTATGAGAAGAGGTTTTATCTGGTACAAACTGGGAGAGTCCCACCTAGCTGAAAAAGCTGTCATACCCCTTGACAGGCAAGGAGGGCATGGCAAAGCCAAGGAGCAGAGAGACAAGTAGGATTTCTGACCCTGGCTGAGAGGCTCAGCCATCATGCTTGATTAGGTACATCCCCATCCTGTGGCTCCCCATAAAGTAGAAAGAATGGTCCCTGCCTGCCTTGCAGGTGCCTGGAGGGCTCCTGGGTGCTGATCAGCTGGCTAGATGTGTCCCCTCCAGAGCTAGGCAGTCTCCTATGTACTCATTTCTCTGGCTTCCTGACTCAAGGAACAGCCAAAGCCTCGAGATTTGGGGGTTTTTATTACTTGTAGTAAAAAGCACATAAAATTTGCCATCTTAACCATTTAAGTATCTACTTCAATGATGTTAAATACATTCACATTGTTGTAAACAAATTTCCAGAACTTGTTTAGTTCTGTCTCCATTAAATACTACCTCCCATTCCCAGTCCCTGCAGCCACGCTTCTACTCTGTCTCTACCAAAAGGCACTGTCTTTGTGTAACTGCCTTTTCTCATTCGGCTTGACATCGGTCAAGGGTCATCCATGTAGCAGAACTCTTCCTTTTTGAGGCAAAGTGATAGCTCACTGCAGTCTAATTAGAGATATGGGTCCAGTGTCCCCTCCTAGGCTCCCTTGGACTGTCCAGCCAGGCAACAGACACCTTTTGTCACAGAGACAAACTCTCTCTGTAATGACCCAATCCTGCCTCAAACAATGCTTCCAAGCTGATGTCCTGTTATATCTCATGAGCTGATCAATAACTACTAAGCTGACTTTCTCAGCTGAATGCAATGATCAGTTTCCAGACTGAATTACACAGCTAGCATCTCTTGGCTTCAATATGTGGCACAATAGGTTATCTTTAAATACAAGAACTTGAGATTCAATTAAGCTTCCCCCACCACTAGTCCCATTAATGCTTAGAGGAAAGGAAAATGCAAGAAACTAAGCTGATATCTGAGTCAGCCCTGGTACAAAGTCCTCACCCGAGGGCAGCGGAACCTCAAATAGCTGGCTTATAACGTCGCACCAGCCCTGTGCGCAGGGCCAGTGGCCAGTCCTTATGATGAATGGGAAAGCAGTCACATGGCTGATCTGGGGTCTCCAGTCGAATCTCCTTCCAACACGACACTCTCCATCTCTCCTTTCTGGGCAGCCAGCATAGAACAGGCTCAGCCGGAGGCATCTTGTTCCCAAGAGGGCACTTGGCAACATCTGGAGAGATTTTTTTTGGCTGTCCCAATTGGAAGTGATGGGGTGCTACTGGCATCTAGTAGACAGAGACCAGGGATGCAATGCACAGAATGCCTCCACACACCAGTTACAGCACCAAGGCTGAGAAGCCCTGGCCCACCTCAAGCCATTGGGATTATGGCTATGGTGTGGGGAAGCCAGGCAGTCAACCAGCCTAGCACAGGAGACATCCAAGGACGGTGGGAAGCAGTCCAAGATGGTCCCAGAGGGGCAATTTATTGTTATTCTCCCAACAAATCTGTGCGCTCTACTGAGAGATACTGACTTGAACCGTGGATGAGACACGATTTAAGCAGATTAACAATTTCCCATGGTGAAAGGCATGGAGGAAATGCAACAACAGAGTGACCAGGTGGAGAGGTGTGGCAAGTCCAGATGGGTAACCAGTGACATGAAACAAAAGCGGAGTATAGCTAAAGAACACACCTTGTGACCACCCAGAGATCAAGTATTCTAAACAGGGAGAAGAGGAAATATAAAAGGCCCTTCGGTAAGAACTTGATGTGTCCCAGCCACACAGAAACAGCCAGTGTGGCCTGAGTGTGGGGAGCCATTCACCTGGTGGGGCAGCCAGACACAGAGGCTTTACAGGCCTGTTATTTTGGATAAGGATGTCACAACTGCAGTCCCCAGCCCCTAGAGCAGCTCACCAAGTATGGAAAAATTTACCAATTTTGTTTGGTGTCATCTTCCAAAGAGCCATATAATATGGGCACCGTCATGATGGGATCACTGCTCAGAAGTTAACTGAATCACCATGGTCATACATATGGCCAAGATTTGTACCTGAGCAGTCAGATCCCAGAGCCTAACTAAGCTCTGGGACACTGGGTTATGAAGTCCTGCTCCCTCCCCATTTGTGTGGCAGGAAGTTACCTCTGAGACTCTGGAAAGAGAGTGATAGTGGAAGGTGAAGAGAAGGTGTGGCTGCAGTCCACAAAAAGTGTCATATAGGGGCAGCAAACCTGCACAAAGAGCCAGAAGGTGACTAACTCAGGCTTTACGAGGTCTATGGTCTCTGTCTCAGCTACTCAATTCTTTTATTGTATTGACATAAACAAATAAGAGTAGCTGTGTTCCAGTGGGCCCATATTTACAAACACGGGTGAATGGCTAGGTCACGGCCCATGGCCATGGTCTGGGGAACCCTAACCTTATAGCTAGGAGACAGATGGTGGAAAGATGTAAAGCAGCTAACTGCTGTACCAGGTAAGGCTAAAAGAGCAGATAGTCTATTTCATGACCAACTTGGGCAAGGGATGACTTGGTGGCACAGGGAAAGTTCCTCGGTGTTCTATGCAGGGATCTTGGCTACAGCAAAATAAAAAGCCCAAGAGAAAGGCCCGGGGATTTAGCTCAGTGATGCCATGCCTGCCTCACAAGCAAAAGGTCCTGAGTTCAATGGGGGACAAGAGAATGCTGCCCAGGGGACAGAAAAGTCTCAAAGCTTTACCAACAAGGGTAAGCCTCTCCAGCATCCCTAAGGATCCTTTGGCCCTGTGACTTAGATACAAGGAATATGAGAACTGAAAGATACAAAACTTCTGCCCCCAGGAGTGGGGGCAGCAAGGCAGGATCCTGGAGCCACAGGGAAAGGGAGGCCTTTGTTCCTGCTACAGCCTAGGCGCCACTACTGCTTGCCTCCAGCCAGTCCTCCTCAGTTGCCATCTAGTGGTCTGGGCCAGTAACTAGCTCCAGGTCCTGAACTACATTTTGGAAGGTTGAGGCACTTCATTGCAGGCTGAGCCACAGGATCAAAGTTTTGAATCAAAGGGCACAGTTTTAAAATCAAAAGGCCTGGCAGAGACTGGAGAACCCAATGCCATAGATTCTTGCCCTTCTTGACCCTTTAGAATGAAGGGCCCAGTTATAGCTTCTGTTTTTTTTTTTCAGAAGCTGGAAATCTGAATTCCTACTTGACCACCACCACTTCTTTTTTAAAAAATGTTAACGACAAATTTTTTAATATCACAGAAGATCATGATGCCCAAAGCCTGACTTGAGCCTGCACACCCCGTTTTCCACATGCAGACAGACACCCTCTGTCCATTCAGCAGAGTACCCAGCTCACTGCTGAGGAAGTGAGACTCAGCAGCCTGGTGACTCTCCGACTGCCCTTTGTCTGTCCAGAGCAGTGTTTGTCCCCCAAACTCCATATTTTAATATCCATTACTTTTTTCTCCTGTTTACTGAGGTGAAGTTCATATAACACTATTTTTATAGTTTTATATAATTTAGGAGCATTTTAATACATTGTGTTGTGCCATCTCTAGTCCCAAAACATTTTCGTCACCCTCATATCTATGGAGCATGACCTCTCCTCTATTACCTCTCCTCCGGCCCTGGCACTGCTAGTCCCCTTTCTGCCTCTACAGATTGACCTATCCTGGATACTTCATAGATGCCGAATACTAGTATGTGACTTTCTGTGTCTGGCTTTTGTTACACAGCCCAATGCTTCTGACATTCATCTAGGCCAATAGTGGCAAACCTACGGCACACATGCCGTTATCATTGAAAGTTATAAAAGGTTTGCCAGCACTGACCTAGGCTGTGGCATGAATCAGGGATTCCTTCTTTTTATAGGTGAATATTTGTTATGGATGTGTCATAATTTGTTTATCTAGGAGTAGTTCTTTTGAAATTCTCTCAAGCCAGTTACTTTTTAGCTCTAAGACTTCAGTCTCCCCAATGTAATTACCCTGAAGTTTTCTCTCTGGGGCCCAGGACTGTCCCATGCAACACAAAGCCTCATGCCCAGCCTTATCTTCATTAAGGATCTGCTGCCTGAAGGGACCTGGCCAGCCTTTCCCAGCCTCCCTAACCCAGCTACCCTCTGATACCCACAGAGTACAAGGCCAGCTATGCCCGTAATCGTTCTGTCCGCTCTGTGGCCATTGAGGTAGACGGCGAGGTATACCACGTAGGCCTGGATGATGCACCCCAGACCCACAACCTTACCAAGCGGCACTGGCAGGGGGCCCTGGAGGACCAAGAAGACAAGGACAGTGAGGGCTTCAGTGGCACCGGAGGCCTTCCAGACTACTCAGCCCCCAACCCCATTAAAGTGACTCATAGGTGAGAGTCCAGGTAGAGGTTGGGGGTGAAGGGACAGACTGGGCCCCTTCATGCCTCAGGGCCACACATGTGACACTTTTTCTTGATCAGGTGCTACATCCTGGAAAATGACACTGTCCAGTGTGACCTGGACCTGTACAAGTCCCTGCAGGCCTGGAAAGACCACAAGCTACACATCGACCATGAGGTGAGCCTAATTAGGCAAGGAGCACACTGTCAGACACCATGGGCCAGAAGCACTCACCAACTCGCCATCCACAGGGGGCCAGGGCCAGGGAAGAGGCAGGAGAGATGAAGGGAAGATCCCATAGAATCCACAACCCAGGGACAGCAGCATCAGTCTAGCGGCCTCCTGCAGCAAGCTGTCTATGGGAAGATAACCACATCATACCTGACTTCCACTTTAGCCCTGTGAGCACACCTGGGAGACACGGTTCAGCCCTCAGTGGGTTCTCAGGCCAAGAAAAGAATGACTCTCACAGCTCCACCCATGAGCCTGGTTAGAGGGAAGGGGACTACCTTTAGCCAGTGGAACCAAGTGCCGCCTCAGCATACCCATGGGGCCCAGGGCACAGAAGGGACAGGGCTGGGGCAGTCACTAGGCCGTGCCCTTCTCACCCAGTCCATTAGCTTCAAGGCCTCCTTTCCTGCTCCCTCCTCAGATCGAAACCCTACAGAACAAAATTAAGAACCTCAGGGAAGTCCGAGGTCACCTGAAGAAAAAGCGCCCAGAAGAATGTGATTGCCACAAAATTAGGTGAGGAGTTAGCAAATGGCCCCGTGCCCTCCTGAGGATCACTCCTAGAAACACAGCGCCACTTCTCATTACTGACCTCTTTCATTCTTGACCCTACCCTCAGGGTTTAAAAAAAAAATCAGTAATTGATATCCCCACTGTGAGCCAACTGGGCACGTGGTAGGTACATTAACCCTCAGGGGCCCGGATTGCTGCCCTGCTCAGAGGTGCCAGGCTCTCCTGTCCAGTGCTGGCTCTAGGCAGAAGCACCTCTGCCACGTGCCTTTAGAAATCACCCATGTGGCTTAAGGTCCACATCACCACTCAGGGGGCCCCCTAACCCAAAGGACTGAAGTCCAGAGCGCCTGTCCAAAAGAACTTCCTACAAGGATGGAAACGGGCTCTATCTGCACCGCCCAGTATAGTAGCCACAGACACAGCATTTTCCATTTCATCTAGTTTAAGCTGAAGTAGCCACATGTGGCCTGTAGCTCCTGAACTGGACAGCACACCTGGCACCTCCTCTGCTGCCTTCCCAGAAAGGCTTGCAAAACAACAACTCTCCAGTGCTGGCCTGGCTAAGTATAAGGTGAAGAGGATGGAGGAGACCAATCTCAAGAGCCCAAGGCCGACACCAACTGAAGCCAGGCTCAGCTTCTAGTCTTCACTAAATTACTCCCCCCCACCCCACCCCCAAAACCTTATAAAGTCTGGCCTAAGGCCTTCAACCAGGAGCTCCCAGATCACACATGCCAGCCAGGCAAGAAGCCACCACCCTGAGGACAGTACAGTACCCTTCCTACCACCACTCCAGGGAGAGGGGCAGGGTGGAGCAGCAGTGACTAAGGGAGTCCCAGGAGCTACACCCTGCACACGTCTTGACACTGGGATCTGTTCCAGCTACGACACTCAACACAAAGGCCGCCTCAAGCACAAAGGCTCCAGTCTGCATCCTTTCAGGTAAGAGCAGCATAAGGTGGGCTCCACAGACAATGAGCAGAGGCCCTCAAGAGGCTGCCCTCCTCTTACTACAACAAGAAAAGGAAGAAAGTCCTAGCTTTCCCTGGGAGGGGTGTGGCTGTCCTTAGAGAGGCCTCACTCCTAAGCCACTCTGAGCAGAAATCCAGATGCCTCTTGTGGCTAGATGGGATTGCTGGAACCCCACCAGTGGGGCTGGAATCCCAGAAGGGGAGGAGACAATGTGAACAGGAGTTCCAGTGGCCACCCAGCTTTCTTCTCAGGAGCCACTGAAAGATGGTACAGGAGGAAAGCCCCAAGTTTTGGTTCCAGCTCTACCTGGCCCCACTGGTGGGATTTGGGAGTCCTCTATAGTTATGCCCATGGTCCTCTGTTGTACAAGGCTCAGTCCAGCCCTGAGGGTAGACAGGAAGAACACAGTCTTGGGTTACTGATGCCTCAGAGGCCCAATGTTATGTGGTTCTTTTGTATTGTTTTTGTTTATTTGGGGGGTGAGGGGGTGGCAGGGTCTCTATGTAGTTCAGTCTGGCCTCAAACTCACTATGTAGCCCAGGCTGGCCTGGAACTCACAGCAATCCTCCTGCCTCCACCTCCCAAGTGCTGGGATTACAGGGGTGCGCCACCACACCACACCCCTTGGATTTTTTTTGCCCCTAGGAAGGGTCTGCAGGAGAAGGACAAGGTGTGGCTGCTTCGGGAACAGAAGCGCAAGAAGAAACTTCGAAAGCTGCTCAAGCGTCTGCAGAACAATGACACATGCAGCATGCCAGGCCTCACATGCTTCACCCATGACAACAAGCACTGGCAAACAGCACCTTTCTGGACACGTGAGGAAGCTGGGGGCAGGCACAGGACAGGGATGGGAGGCTGGGGCCCGCTTTGCATGGTAAGCCACCTGCGCTGCCCTATGAGGCCTCACTGCCTTGCAGGTCTCTCAGACAGGTACTGACATCAGCAGTCTACAAGTGCTCCAGACTGTCACTTGGCATCTCAGGGGCTGTCCCTGACAGGAATCAGCTGCCAGCCTGGGCTTCTTCCTTCACACACATTCAAGGCATGCTCTCTCTTCCCTTGGCAGTGGGGCCTTTCTGTGCCTGCACCAGTGCCAACAATAACACATACTGGTGCATGAGGACAATCAACGAGACCCATAACTTCCTCTTCTGTGAATTTGCAACTGGCTTCCTGGAGTATTTTGACCTCAACACAGACCCCTACCAGGTACAGACAGTACCATCTGGAGAAAGAGGGATATGGGCTACACAGGCACTGCCAGTAGGTCCCTCACCCCTAGGAAAGCAAACAAGTTTCCAAGGCCCACTGAGACCCTAGGACAGGAAGAATGAGTTCTGAAGCCACTGAGACTCTAGGGACACAACGTCCCATCAGCCCGCCTCTGCCTCCATTACCTTTTGTCTAACTTAGGAACAAGATAACATCACAGAGGTTCCCTAAGGACTTCTTGGTGGTGTTAAGAGTCAAACCAGACACTGAACACCCAAATGATTAATGCAACAATGACACAGCCAGCCAGTGTGCATGAGTGCCACACGCATTTTAAATCACCTAGACTGACATCAGAGGGGTTGTTAAAACCAAAATGAGCAGTGCAGTGGAACATGTGAGCCCTTGTACAGACAGTCACTACAAAACTTTAGCACTAGAGCTATACTGCAGTGTGGCCTTGGTGTTGTCCCACCACCAAGCTTTAAGAAAAGTCTAAAGAAATTTGTTAACTTTCATTTGTAAATGTCAGTAGCTCAGCTTCTTTATCTGAACAGATTACCATGTAGGCCAGCAGTCTTCTCAGACAGCACACCCTGTATCTCACCAGAAAATAACTGGTCACCTGTAGTTCCCAGACTAGGCAAGGACCCAGTCACTACGCATCCCTTCACAGAATGGCCCCTTTTCAATCAAAGGAAATTGAGGCAGTCAGTGAAGGCTACAGACAAATCCAAGGCTTGTAAGGGCTTCCAAACTTGCTAAGTTTCCTGACCAGTGGCTCCAGAAGTTCAACAGTAAGTGCACAGACATGGTTTTACAGTTTTCATTCTCATGAGTTTCCAGTCTCATTAAGAGGACCCAGTGGGAATAAAAGCTAAAACATCACCTAACTCTTGGAAATCTTAGCCCTAACAGAAATGGGAGGGTGGGGTGAACCACCTCCTGGCTTTGTTCTTGGGACAAGTCCCCTGGTTGGCAGAAGCAGAGGGAGGCAAGAGTCTCCAGATTCACCTGTTGACAGCCTGCCTTTTCCCAATCAGCTGATGAATGCAGTGAACACACTGGACAGGGATGTCCTCAATCAGCTACATGTGCAGCTCATGGAGCTAAGGAGCTGCAAGGGTTACAAGCAATGTAACCCCCGGACTCGGAACATGGACTTGGGTGAGTAGTGCCCTAGCAAAGCCTGCAGAGAACAGGGTAACCACAGGAAGAAACTTACTTAGGTCATATCAACCTGAAGAGCGAGCCTGAGTCACCAGGAGTCAGGGAATGACACAATTCAAGACAAATCACCTGGAAACTTACAGGTACCCTGTGGCAGGCAGACAGCTTACTTCCAATGAGCTGTGCTTCCTTAAAGACAAGTACCTAGACCAGTGATGGCAAACCTATGGCATGCATGCTACAGTGGGTTTTTACCATTGAAAGCTCTAAAAGGTTCATCATCACTAACCTAGACCATTTATACAGAAAATATGAGATTCCTTCTATTTTTCTCTGTTTTATCCATTCATTCATCAAACATCTACTGAGAACTTAGACCTGGGACCATACTCTGACCTCATGTGCAGTTGACATTCTGCTCGGGACAACAGTCCATGGGGGAAGCCTCTGGCTTGAAGGGAGAGAGAACAGGATGATGTCATATAGTGTAACCACAAGAGGGTTTCTTGCACACAGGGCATAGATCAGGAGTAGGCACTCTAAGAATTTATCTTTGAGCTAAGCCCTGGAGAGTAAAAAACAATCAACTGTTAAACCACAGAGGGCTGGCATTCCTGGAGGTATGACGGACAGAAGCCCAAAGTGGCCAGAGCTAAGGCAAGTGAAGGTGGTGGAGAGTGACAGGTAGTTCAGAAAACTATCCTTTAAGGGCTTGGTAGGCCACAACAGGAAATTCAGATTTTATTTAGGTGTTTTAGGAAGCCAGTGGAAAGAAGCTTTAACCCCTGAGCAGTGAAACAGTCTGTATTTTAAAAGGAAAAAGACTGTCAAGTAGAGGATCAAACTGTATGGGTTGGAAGATGGTAGACTAGAGATCCAGGTGGTGAAGTCGACAAGAAATTGTGAAGAAAGTCACATTCAGCTGGATTTCATGTGTGACAAGAGCAAAATCAGCACTTCTAAGTTCAGGATGCTAACTAGATATCATTTTTAAAAATCAGGAAACCTAGCTAGGTTTGGTGGTGCACATCTGTAATCCCAGCACTCAGGAGAGGCAGGAGGAGGATCACCACAAGTTCGAGGTCAGACTTGGCTACATAGTGCAAGGCCAGACTAAGCTACACAGCTAAGACCTACCTCAACCCCCTTCCAAAGGAAAACCCTAAAAGAATAGGAAAACCTATTCACTCACTAGGTACAACAAAACAGATAAACCTAAAACGCTGTGGTTACTTGAAGGCCCATGGGCAGTTTTTACCTGTATCAAGACACCTAGAGTTCCTGTCAGAAAAGTGGTTAAGCACCTGAAGAGGAAGAATCTAGGTGCTACAGTCAGCTTTGGTTATGAAAAGGGGAGAACAAGAGAGTTTAAAAGTTGTGGCACTGACACTGCCTGCTCTACCAAGCAGTCCACAATCACTGCAATCACGTATTAGTCACCACAGGCCAGGTAAAGTGCTAACTGTTTTATATACACTCAGAGAATTCTCATGACAACCTTCTAAGGTGAATCTTATCTTATGAATGAGTAAAGTGAACCCGGCTGGCTGACTCCACAGCCTATGCACCTATCACACTGCTGTATCCTCAGGACACCTTTCTTGGGACCTGTGGTGTCAGTCCACTGATAGTGCTGAATGAAGGTGTCATCCTACAACTGATATGGTGACATCACAGGGCAGGCAATCTACAGGACTACCTAGGAGACCTAAGGAAAGTTCATCTCATCATTTGGTCCACTCCATCTGACTGGGGAACACTATTAACATCCTGGGATAGTGACAAAAAGCCTAAGGTTTTCTGGAAGTTTGTCATTGCTTGTGCCATTTTTGCCTAAAATGTTCCTGTTTTGTTCATTTTTCCCTCATTCAGGACTTAAAGATGGAGGAAGCTATGAGCAATACAGGTATTCACTTTTGTTACTAAAGTTGGAGGAAGGTTCCCATATCTTGACCCAACCCCTTTAGTCTCTTGTGAGGATTCACCCATTATGTTGAGAAACTTGTTCCTCACCCAACAGTGACAGGTGTCCTTCTCTGTATAGTTCTTTGGGGATGACTTTCTTTCTTGGTGATGGTTAACATTCATTCTCCTTTTGAAACTTGAAAACTCAGGCAGTTTCAGCGTCGAAAATGGCCAGAAATGAAGAGACCATCTTCCAAATCACTGTGAGTTGAGGAACCAGTCAGTTTACAGATACAGATCTGGTTCTGACTTGCTTCTTTTTGCCAAGGCTATTCTATGTGCATGCCATTTTCTATTATCCTCACTGTTCCCATGATGAGAGGGAAAAGAGTAATGTTAGATTAATACCATATCCAAACCAGTTCTCTCTATAATAATACTTGAGCTATGACTTAAACAACTGCCAGGCACCTTAAAGGCTGTGGCTGCCAGAGCGCTAACTGGTAGGCACCATCAGTAATAGGGCGACCTCATTAAATGACTTCCAAAAAGTCCATCCTATCATGTGTCACTCTAGTGCTGAGCGGCTGGCAGGGGCTGCAGGAGACTGATAAACTGGAAAGATCACCACGATTCTAATGAGGGTGGCTGGTTTGTCCCCTGCAAGAGAAGACCTTATTAAGGAAATCCAGAACTGCAGATTATTTGTGTGATAATTCATTTATGACAGTGGCAACTAATTAGACATTGTTACCCTGTGGGCAAACCAACCCCCTTAGTGACCTGCTATTTGCAACCCTGGTGTACTTGTTTAGTGGCGCATTATTTATTGTTGAAGAAAGAAGCATTTCTTTGCTGCTTCCAGAGTTTACATCTTACATTCTCCTCAGCCACTTAAATGCCATCCTTGCCAGCCACTGAGTGTATAAGTGAGCAACTAAAAATGGAGACTAGAAGCAAAGCTTACTCAGCTGCAAAAATCCTAAAGAACATGTCAGGCAAAGGCTGAGAGGAGTTTGTTTTGTTCTACAGGGGACAACTGTGGGAAGGCTGGGAAGGTTAAGAAGCAACAAGCAGGGATCTCCAAAACCAGAGGCTTCACCTGACTCTAACAGGCCATGAAGAACCAACCACAAAACTGATTCCTAACTGACCTGTGATACAGGCCAGGAGGTCTGAGAGAGACAGAACTGCTTTTGCAAATTCTGGAGGACAACCATTAGAAGCAGAGAACTTCAGAAAGTCCATTTTGCCCCTGCTTTGCTTTGGATTATACCTCACCAGCTGCACAAAATGCATTTTCATATCAAAAAGTCACCACTAACCTTCTCTGAAAAGCTCACAAGAAAAAAGAACAGATTTTCATGAAAACTTACCCAGAGGTGAAAGTCGCTGGAATTTTTTTAAATCATAGGGGAAGAGAAACAGTCCTGTTTAAATCCTCTTTTTCTTTTGATTCATCACAAAGAAGGAATTAAGCAGGATGGGCAACTTGCAGATGCTGAAAACTGCAGTTATACAGTGAGTCAATAGCACAAAACAGTGACAGGGTTACAAGCACTGTAACCCTGGTTGCCTCTGAAGAAACTGCCTTCCTTGTATATATAATGTGACTATTTACCTGTAACCGACATGGGGACTTTTAGGGGAATCTGACTAATGAGAAATCCCAATTTTTCAAGAGTGGTGGTGTCAATAAACGCTCTGTGGCCAGTGTTAAAGAAAATCCCATACAGTTGTGGACATTTCTGTTCCTGCCCAAATACCATTTCTCCCAATATTCATTCCTTTGTTATCCATTCCAGAACTGATATTTTTATGGTATTTTAAAAAATGAAGTTGCTGTATGTCCCAAGTTTGTATTTGTAAAGAAATTTTGTAGTTTAAGTACTGTCATACAGTGTTCAAACTCCTAGGCAGTGACCAGTACTGGTATGAAGAAATCTGCCATTCTGTAAAAGGCCATTCCTTGAGAGCTGGGTTTTTGGGTTTTTTCGTTTGTTTTTAAAAGTACTCAATACCAGTGAATGCCTTTTTGGAAGCAGATACCTTAAGGGTGGCAAATGATTAAATAATGACTAAAATTTACCATACCTGAAGGGTCCTCACTGGTGCTAAGTTTCATCTTACACCAGCTTTTCACATTACACCATTTTTAAAAAGTATTAGCAGCAAAGCAGTTCACCATACCACCTTTCTCCAGATACTCCAACCTGGTACGGATGGTTGCTGGAATTCAAGAAGTAGGTGGAACCTTGCCATCAGCAGTCCAACCCATTTCTCATTTGAGAGATGATTCCCTAAGCCTATTTTGAAAAAATGTTCCACACTTTTCCACTCCACAAATAGGCACAGACTCCCTAGCAAAAACACTGTTTTTAATAGAAACTGCTGCTGTTATTTGAAATAGGCTTTAACTTTCTCTTTTGCCCTTCATCCAATCTGAGGGAGAGGGAGGAATCATGCTCATAATCACCAATTTTAAATAGAAACCTTTATTTACAAGGACATCCAAAATGGTGAAGAAGTCGAAGCTCACCACCCCATCTCGTGAGTCATCCCATGTAGTTTAAATTCTTTGCAGTGTAAAATAACAATTTCAATTTTTTTAAATCAACACTTAAACTTGATTGAAATCAAATTAATTCTTAATACTGTAAGTCAATTCCTGAGAAATTTAAATATTGCTCTCAGAATGACATTTCTATCTTCAAAATTCCGTATACTGGAAAGAAAAGAGGTAAGAATAAAAAAAATCCTTCTCATTTGAAATGATTTACCTTGGAGTTGAAAACAACTTATTTATTCCTCCGCTGCAGGGGTAAATCTTCATATATCTTAGAAGATATATGCACCTGTGAATTTCCCACTTGTACACAAAACTCAGGGCTTCTGCAAATAAAAAGGAGCCTGGACCGGCATATGGGCAACTGATAATCCATTTTGTTTACTTTCCAGCTGCATCTACCTCTGGATAAAAGTACTTCTAGGACATCAAGCCATTATCTTCTATAGTACCCGACCCCAGCTCACTCTATATATTCATTACTGATAAACTAAGTAGGACTGTTTATTGATATTTACACCCTTCAATCCAGATGGACAATTAAGAAAAATGGCGGCATAATATCAACATTAACAATGAAACTTCTATTTTTTTTAAAGGAAAAAACATGTATCTCCTTTATATCATTTTGATCTTCATAAAATATATTTTTTTATTTATATATCTTTGGATTCAGCGAAAAAGTAGGTACTGGAAATATCCCACAATCTAAAAGCAGATGAAAAGACTACTTATACTCTACCCAAGAAATACTTAGGTTTAAAAAAAAGGATTTGGGGGGGGGGGGCGGCTGAGAACAAGGAGAGGTAGGCAGCAGGAGTACAAAGAATTATCCAAAAAAGATTAAAGGATAATAAAGGTAAAAACAACAAATTATCTCAAAGACTCCATCTGTTAAAATCAAAATCTTGACTTTACACCAATAAAAAAATCAACAAGTAGAAAATATAAAAACTTATGATAAACATGTTTTTCCCATAGAAAAATGGGACGCTGCTGCCTTCTATGTAGCCTGGAGTCAGGACTGAAAAAAGAACCACAAAGCTTTGTTTTGAATAACTCTTAAAAGTCAAGAAAGGTAGGAGCACCATTCTGTCCTCATGTAGACAATTAGCCTGAGGAAGGCTCAGACACACCCAACCTGCCTGGACTGAGAGACACTGAGCTATGCCTCTGTGACCCAAAAAGAAGATATCAACTGAAAACCACAAGCTGTACAATGGCAGTTTATGATTTTAAAATCTGAGATTTATTTTTAACCTGTGGGGAAGGGATAAGAATGGCAAACTCATAATGGCCTGCAAGTGCTGGAAAAATAAAATCCATTCTAGGTGAGGTTCTGGAAATAGGGAGCTTCGTTTATTCTTAAGCATATCAAAGAAAGTAAATTATCTTACCTTCAGACACATCTAGAAAGTTTTGCTAAATGTGTGAAATTCAAAAAACTTAACTGGTTCTCAGATATTGCTAGAAAATGATATCAAAGACATTTGAAATTTATAGATATTCCAAAACCCAAATTTCATTCCACCGTTTGAACCTAATAGAATAACTCAGTAAAGGGAATTAAACTTGATTTTTTTCCCCTACTCCAGACTGACTAGAATGTCAAGGATAGGCAACAGCACAAAATGGCAGAGGAGATTGGGAGGAGGGGTAACAAAGGTGCTCGGACTATGGTTCTGAATTACTGCAACACAATATCTGTTCTGGGTACTAAGCTCCTTAAGAACAGTGACGCTATTCTAATTTGCAGAGATGTAATGAAAACGCCATATTAGAAAAATGATAAGATAGCTGAGCAGACACCAGAAACCACATACCAAGGAGTCTATTCCTGCAATCTCAATGTTGATTCAGCTCCTAGCAACCAAAATCTTACAGCACTCCTATAATGGATGAAAAGACAACACAGTACTTAAATTTTACAAAAGGAAAGATGATTTATGGACTGCTTAAAATCCAAAAGATTTTTTTTAACCAAATTGCTTTTCTTCAAATTCCTGATTTCTTTTTTTTCTTTATTTCTCCATATCTATTTATTCCCCCCCCCAAATTAACAAAGTGCTTAGTTCTCTGGTAGAGGAATTAAAAAAAAAAATTTAAATGCTCACTTACATCTAAACGATCTCTTTAAAAAGCATTTAGATTGAGAAAATGAAAAGAGTGAGGCATCTAATGCTGGGGGAGAGGAAAAACTGGACCCTTATCGTCCCTCCACCCCCACACCCAGGTGATTCAGGGGATCTTGTTTGAATCCTCACCACATAGAGCTCACTAAAAATTGACAAATGTTAAATATTCAGCTTCACAATCTCTGTAAAAATGAGTTGTTGTGACCTACAAAAAAGGTATATACATATTTTACATAATACAATATCTTAATGGGTCGTATTTACAAAAAAATTATTCACAGAAACACTGCAAACTTCTGATTCAGAAGGCAGTACCTGGCCTTAAGAGTTTCAGAAGTTTATTTTCAAAAAGCATTATTGCTCTACCATATAGGCAAAGGGTGACACCAGTACTTAAAAAAATCATAGCTCTTGTCCAACAGATTAGTGTAGACAAAAACCAGGAATGTGGTTCACCATTCCTCAAGACCTCAAGAATATTGCATTTATCCATTACTTATTTACTTAAAGTGCACTCAGCTGCACGTTAGCATACAAAAAACTGCCACCAATGCAATTAAATACTGTCATCTCATTTTCCCTTCTGCAAAGCTACTGGACATCAATGACAAACCCTGTAGGTGAAGTCATCACAGGACCTTAGGGCCAAATGAAAATGTTCATTAGAAGACCTAGGACAGTAAAAACTAGGGACAGAGCAAATCAATCAGCAAAGAACAAAAACTCAGAAATACCAATTCCACTGCATAAAGGGCAGCATAAAATTACTTTATGGAATAAAACACTTGAAGGCTGGAACTATGCTCCCTGTCCAATACTCTAACTAGAGAAACTAGAGATGTGCTGATCTCTCCTCTGCTCTCTGGCCCACCTACATTTAGCTGAAAAGACTTTGGCTAGCAAGGCAGAAGAAAGTGACACAGGAGAACATTGTAATCACATCCCTAGGAGGCAGAATGTCAAAAATACTCTGTTTCGAACACCATGATATACAAAAGTACAGGAGGACACAACAACAAAAAAGATGCTGCACTTCAGCTTAAGAGTCAGTCCTGCTCAAATGACATAACGTGAAATATCCCTGATGGAGATCAAAGCTGGTCCTCGCTTCACAAGTGGATGCCTGAACAATGATTCTTTACCTCCCAATAATCCTACAGCAGTAGCATTTGTACAGTGATTTCCGTAGAGGTCCGGGTATGGCAATGTCAGCAATATTTCTGTTAATAATCAGAAGAAAACATTAGTAAAACATGTGTTCAACAGAACAAAAAATGACCACCCATAAAAACACTCTACACACAGGATGTGACATGTAGCTCTGGCTGACTAGTTCAGACTCCTTAGGAGCCCACATTACCAAAAATACCTAATGGGCCAGGGCCTTCAAACCAATTTTTTTTTTTTCCATTTTTAATTTTCTTTTTTTTCCCCCTTTTGGGGAGGGGAGTACTGAGGATTGAACCTGGGGCCTTCATACCTTCACCCCTTTTTATTTTGAGACAGGGTCTTGCTAAATTGGAATTCAGCCTCCCACAGTAATACAATTACAGGCATATATGAGCCAACTGCCATATTTTTTTTTTTTTTTTGGTACCAGGGATTGAACTCGGGTCCTTGCACTTGCACAACAGGCGGCAAAACCACTGAGCTAAATCCCTGGCCCAACTACCATATTTTTAAATTATATATCCAAGTTAAAATCGACCTAGATCTTTAGATCACAGGTGAGACTTTGATTCTCTTCAGAGAACAAGAAGAAATAGATCCCCATACCTGATCAGGACCCATGGGCATGCCCGACATGGGCATAGAGTTCATGTTCATCTGTCCCAAGTGACCACTGCTGCCATTCATGTGCACCATACCATAGGCTGCAGGATTCCCCTGGTGGGCAAACTGCTGCTGGGGGAAGGAGCTGTAAAGAAAGTGTGATAATACTTTGAGTCATTTTAAAACTTGGCACACACAGAGCCTAACACAATTTTGTCAACTGCTCCTGTACTTAAGCAAGGCCTTCCATTTTTCACAGCTATTTGTACTCAACACCCTAATAGGTATGTGCACAGTACAAAGGGTGCTCTAAAGAAACAAGTCAAATAACATTTTCTGACATGAACTCGGGCCTTCTGATTTCTCCATTGAAGCAAGTATGACAAAAAAATGCAGAGAGATTAATTTTCTAAGTTTCTGGGACTAGGATGTGAATTGCATTTATACTCATTGTTTACCTGTTTCTGGCCAAGTTTCCTGATGGCCAGCCCTTCATTTCTGAGGACTGATACATGGGTGCAGTCTGTGGGTGCTGCATCACAGGGTTCTGGGATGGACCCATTCTTGATGACATCATTGCATTAGGAGGACTGGGCACTCGACCAAAGGCTGGATCTGGTTGTTGTCCCATTCCTTAAAAAGAAAGAAAGAAAAAGAAATTATGATGTTCAAATGCTACTTTGTTCTTTTTTTAGAAAGGGGGTGGGAGGCGGTAATAAGATGTGAAGTGCTACAAGAAGCTGTCTCCAAGTTATTCCTACTTCTCACCATGACAACTAGAGTCATGGACCTACTACTGAAAGGCACACCATCTAGATCAAGTGAAGGACAGCTGCCTCAACAGCTTTTCTGTATAAAAGGGAACCTATAACATTCTATTCATACCATTCTGTCTATCCCTCTTTAGAAGGCAGAGAAACTACCGTCCCCCAGAGCAGAGCTGCATCCTGAAATGTAAAATCCCCATACAGACACCTCTACCCTACCTGCTCTGTTTCTGGAACCTTGTAAAGGTTGAGCTGAAGTGTTATCTACATTATTACCATTAATACTAAGTGCAAGTCACCACAAAAAGGAACTTCAAAGGCCCAAAACAATGCACCCTTCTCACAGACTTAAATATTGAAAGATTAGAGTTCTGCTAGAGTGGGACATGTAAAAAGGAATAGGAGAAGAATTCTGTAGTCTTCCTCCCCAAAAGAAGAGGTAGAGAGCTGAAAACAAGACCTGCAAAAAATATCAACTGTGATAGAATGTACATGCCTCAATTACCTATAGCAAGCATTTTGGTTCTTCATTACTTTTAAGTAATTTTAATTTTTCTTGTGAAGTAATAGTATTTGTTTTCCATGAACAATAGACCTGGCTAAGTCCTAAGAAATGTTACTTTGGGGATGGGATAGTCTCTATCACATTTACCATAATTTGGTGGGTATGGAAACTGCTGTGGTGGAGCCTGTGGCATTGCAGGTCCTGCCAAAACGCCATCCATACTGGGGGAAGCAGTCACATTTGGAGGTGGGCTGAAGGCTTGACTTTGCTGCTGTTGCTGTTGCTGTTGCTGCTGCATCATCATCACCACCCTCTGTTGTCGGAAGTGATGACTTAGCAGCTCTCTGCTGCGCTGGGCAACCATCTGGGCATTTAGAAAACCCTGCTAATACCCAAAAAAGAACACAATTACAAATAGCAAAAGCCAACCAGTTTCATACATATAGTTCCCCCATATAGTGCATTAGTATCAAAGAGAAAAATATCTAGTGCTCCTCTTTAAAATTAAAGGAAAAAGAAAATGTGCAATTCATTATGATAAAAACTTTCTGAGCCTGGCACACTGGCACACACCTCTTGTTCAGCACTCAGAGGAAGCTTCGACAAGAAGCTCTCTTGAGAGCTCAGGAATTTGAGGCCTGCCTGGGCAGTATAAAATCTCATTATTTTTGTCGAGGCCAGGCATGATGGCACATACAGAATCCCAGAACTCTGGGAGGCTGAGGTAAGAGAATCCTGAGTCCAAGCACAGTCTTGGCAACTTAATCACTTAGCAAGACCCCATCTCAAAAACATAATCAAATACGACTGGGGATGCAGCTTAGCACAGAGGCCCTGGGTTCAATCCCTAGTTTCAGAGGAGCAGGAACAGAGGAAGGGGAGGACAGGAAAGGAGAAGAGAGGGAGGAAGGAGGGAAGGGAAAAAGAAGGGAGGAGGAAGGAGCCCAGTCCCCAAAATATAGCTGTATGTTGGGCTGTTAGGGAATGAAAGAAGGGAAGACCCCCTCAAAAAATAAAAAGACAAGAAATAAAGGATGGGGTTCTACTCAGATAAGCAGAGACCTCAGTCCTTTAAACCTTCCGAAAGGAGAGGTAGAAGACAGAAAGCTGTCTGGAAGTTAGGGTGGTAACATGACTGAACAAGAGCCAGGTATGATGGCTCACACCTGTAATCCCAGCATTCTGGGAGGCTGAGATGGCAGGATCACAAGTTCTAATCAGCCTAGGTAATTTAGTTGAGAACCTGTCCCAAAATAAAAATTTTTAAAAGGACTGGGGAGGGCTGGGGATTCAGCTCAGTGGTGCCACCCGCCTGCCTCACAAGCGCCAAGGTCCCAAGTTTGATCCCTGGTACCAAAAAAAAAAAAAAAAGGACTGGGGATGTAGCTCTATGTGAAGAACCTTGGTTCAATATCCATTACCACCCCCAAAAAAAGTCTCAAAAAAAGAAAAGAAAAAGGGTAGGACTGTAAAACAACAACACTGATTTAGGAGGCTCTATAAACTAAGCAAAGATCAACTCTAAAAAACAAAGTTTTATTATCTATTTGAAAGCATCTTAGCTCAGTTTATACAGGATGCTGATTAACAAGTATCAGTAAGTACTTTCATGTAGGCCCAAGATAGTGAAAATTGAACATTTCCATTTTTATTTACATAATTATCAACAGTATTTATAATCCCAGTAGATAGAGGATTGTCATGTTGTCGACTGCCTCCTGAACATTAAACTAGAATGGAGTGGGGGTGGGGGCTGCTGGAGATTGAACCCAGGACCTTCACACAGTAAGCTACATCCCAGCCCTAGAAAGCATCTAAGTACTGCCTACATGGCTGCTAGAGGAGAGAGAAGGGTTGTCATGCCTTGGAGCTAGAGGAAATAGAGTACCTCTTACCCAATGAGCATGTGGTTTCATAACCCAGGCAGAGACATTTACAGAGTTACTATTTTAAATTCCTAAAAGGTTAAGTGATAGTTTGTCTCACAACACATCAAATGATTACAGGGCCAGGGATTCAGCTCAGTGGTTCCAGCTCCTGCCTTGCAAGCACAAGATCCCAGAGTTCAATCCCTAGTATCAAATGATTACAATGGGAATTAAGGTAAAACAATACTCATTGGTGGTTTTAATGAAGTAACCCCTCCTCCCCTTTGTACTCCCATCACCATCAAGAGAAAAAAGAAAGTTCAATCTGTTCAATCTGAACAGTTTCACAAGAAATTCAGAATTACTCTAATCTGTTCAGCCTACAATGACAGAGCCAACCACAAACCAAGCCCTGTCTGGAGGACAGCAGTGAAGGTGGAGGCTCTTCCTCACCTGGGAGCTCACCTGGGGCTGCATCATGGGCCTCATCACTGCAGCAGCACCACCAGTGGGGTTTTCCATCTTCATTTCAAGTGCCTGCCGGCTCTGATTCAAGAACTGAGGAGAAACGGATTTGTTAGGATGCAAGTGGAACATGCTGACATGCCCCAAACTGTAAGGTCATGATGGTATCTCCAAACCCATTAACCTGGTAAGTCACATCTAAACTGAGCTGGTACATTTTAACAGTGCAAAAAACATTAATTTTAAACAAACAAAGTAACTGCTGAAATATCCTTGCCCAGTAGTATAAAGCTTTCATTTGGTGCTGGAAGAAAAAACACAAGTGGTGAGTTTACAAACTATCTTTACAGGAACTCAAAGGATTTTTACAGCTGAGTTTTCCCTGGGATTATTCAGGAACTTGCAGAAATTGCTTTCATGTTATGAGAGTAACTGTGGATAAATTACCTCCTGGTACTTTTTCCTAAGTGACTTTAAGTGGGAAGAAATGATGAAAAGTACAGTATTACCAGAAACACAGCTTTCCCAAGCACCTAAGCTATTAGGAATATCCAGGCACTGCAGAGTCACTGGCTCATGGATTCTAAACTCAAGTCACTCGTCTACTTCATGGATTAGTACCACCACTTACCACACTTAAAGGACATAAACCACAGAAATAATTATATTTTAAAACATTAACTAGAAATTAAGGACACAATGGGGAAAACAGAAGTACGTTCTAAGAATATTAAAAGAGAGCTCTAGTTTTAGAAAACACCTAAAAACCGCTGAAATCAAGAAGTCTTAAATACTTGGTTATAGTATCAACTACTTAAAAAAGGAAGTCCTCAAGAAACACTGTTTCCCTAAAAGAGCAATTATTTCTGACATTGTTACTTTTTAACCTGTACAATGAAATATTCATATATGAAGATAACCAATCATTTCTTAATAAGGAGTCATCTGTACAAAAAAAATCTTACACAGCAGTGAAAACAAAAGGAATTTATTTAGTTGGCAAGGGAGGGAGAATCAGTGGCAAAAGCTCTAAGGAATACAGCCTGAAAACTAAATAATGTGAGGTCAAAGGGAAAATTTTTTAGGCCACAGCCAAATACATTGCGGGTTGATTACCTGTTGGCCCTGCAGTCTCTGTTGAAGCTGCATTCTAAGTTGCTTTGGCGTGTTTGTCCGGGGTCTCATGATGTTGGCCCTAGCATGCATTCCTTGGAGAGGAAAACTGCCTTGCTGGCTCATCTGATTCATCATAGAGTTAAAAGATGGTGATTGTCCCTGGAGATTAAAGCCTCCCTGCATTGGAGGCCCCTGTGTTGGGTATGTCTGCCCATACAATGCTGCCTTCTGATCCATCATTACTGCTGCTTCCTGGCCTTGGAAAGCATCCTGTTTGGGCTCCAAAGCTTGTCCCTTAAACATCAAACAAATAAGCAATGAAGTACATCTGTAAAAGCAACCAAAATCAAGTGTTCTAAAGGAGGAGAAAAATAAAGTAAATGTGAATATATGATGGTTCATAAAGCCAAAGGCAAAATCAAATTTATTGTCTAAAGTTCTATGAGTAACAAGTGCCTCTGCTCAGGACTGGTCTTAGTGCCTAGCAAAGAATCACGCACAGATGGAAACTCAAATATTTTCTGAGTCAAGTTCTACAAATGTATTAAATACATGGAGGGATGCAATTTGTTCCAGACAAGATTTCTATACTAATAAACAGGGAACTCCCTAGCCAAGTATTTTTTAAAATCAATTAAAAAGATTACTAATCAATAAATTCTTCTGTAATTTGTATAAGAACATTTTTCAGTGTGGCAAGAGGAGCAACTAACTACAGGTATATCCAAAAATGCTCACATCCCCAGCAGTGTACTTACCAAGCCAGCAGTCAAAACAAAACAAAACAAAAACCAACCTAAAAGTGGTCATCCTACATACTTTACCGGAGGATCCATTCAAAAGTACTTATTAAATGTTATGTGCTAGAAATCATTTCTATACACACTGAAAACATGCACAAAGTAACATCATCACCAGCCTTGAAAGTAACATTCCACCACCTGCCTCGAAACCACAAGGTCCCGAGTTCGATCCGTGGTACCAAAAAAAATAAAATAAATAAATAAAGATACTCATAAGTTAAGTTAAATAGATTTCTTTTTATTTTTTTGGTACCGGGGATTGAACTTGGGTCCTCGTGCTTGCGCAGCAGGGGTCAAAACCACTGAGCTAAATCCCCGGCCCAACTTAAATTAAATAGAGCAGATCCACCATAGCAGTTCTTTCTCTTGCTAACTCTACTAAAAATGATAGTAAAGAATTTGGGGATGGGGGAGTTGAGACAGGGTCTCACTATGTAGTCCAGGCAGGCCTTGAACTTGCTATGTAGCCCAGGCTGGCCTTGGGTGATCCCCCTGCCTCAGCTTCCGACTACTGGGATTACAGGTTGTGTGTCACCACGCCTGACAACAGAAGAGAATGTAAAAGATTATATTACCAACAAAACAATAAGAAAGATAACAAGATCAGTATTTTGATAGGTATTTGGAAGACAGAAAGTAAATAGAGGAGTAGAAATCAACTCAACATAGCAGAGAAACTCAGACCTATGTGAAGGTGGATGAAAAATACATTTCAGAAATAAGGAAAGTAGCCCAAAGAATGGACAGACGTGCTTGGCACAGTGCTAGAACACCAATTGGTTAGGAGACTGATTACAGAGCAGGAGGCCAACTACCTCCCTGCCTGGCCCCTCCTCAAAATATCCACACCTTCCACCTAAACCCCACAGAACTGCATTCAGGACTGTAGGCACAGCAGAGGGTAGAGGGAGGCAGAGGCTGAAAATAGGAAATTTTACATATTTATAAATTCTAATAAAACTGTGTATTTTCTAATTTTATATCCCACACTATGAAATCATCCCCAGTTCAACTCCCATATGTAATCAGGTAACAGAAGATTTCCAGGCAAGAAATGGAGGCCTCCTCGCGAGAAAAAAAACAGTCCCAAGAGGATGAAGTGGCAGAGAACAATTCTGTGTGTTAAAATTTGGGGAGTCCTAAAACAAAGAGAAGGCCAGTTTCACAATCATTCTCCATAGAAGTAACTAATTCTGCTCAAAGTTGGAAAGCTTCACATCAGGCTTTTTGTTTTGTTTTGTTTTGTTTTGTTTAGACAAGTTCTCACTATGTGGCCCAGGCTACACTCAAATGCACGATCCTCCTGCCTTGGTTTCCCAAGTGCTGGGATTACAAGCGTGTGCCACAATATCTGGCTCAAATCGCCTTTTTAATGTATTATTCTTAAATCTCACAAAACAGTCAAGGATCACTAGATAGGTATTTGATAAAAGTTTCTAACATGAAAGGACTCAACTCAAAGACAAGATAGAGAGGAAAAAAAATATATATATATATATACACACACACACACACACACATATACAAAATTAAATACCAAATATGTCAACAGAAACCCCAGAAAGGTTAGAAATAACCCCAGCAGGGTAGCACACACCTAGAATTACAGTTGGGGGGGGCAGTCAAACTCAGCCTGGGCAACTTAGCCAGACCTTGTCTCAAAATATTAAAAAGGGGCTGGGGACACAGCTCAATCCAAACACCCTGAATTCAATCCCCAATAATGAAAGGGAAAGAAAAAACAGGATGACATTATTTTTAAAATTATAGAAGAAAATGCTCCAAGCTTCAAGCAGTATTTATATACCTAGTACACAACAGAATGGATGAAACAAGAGCCTTACCAAGATATAGAGCCATGAAATTTCAAAAGGAAAAGTATCCTCATTGCCAAAGACAAAAATGTAAAAGAACACATGTAAAAACAGAGATCAGACCGGATGCAGCAAGACTCAATGGCAATACTGGAAAAAACGTGGACCTTCAAGTATGAGAGAAATCTTTCAAAATTTTAGAAAATTATTTTCAACCTAGAATCTAATAGCCAGATATGCAAGAGAATGGAATAAAGGTATTTTCAGATATACAGGACCCAAAATATTGTATCTCATGTAGCAGGGACAGAAGTCAGAATATGTGTTCCAGCAAAAGAAAGGAGTAAACTAAGAATGAAAATGACTTGAGGGCCGGAGATTTAGCTCAGTGGTTCAGCATGTAAGTGCAAGATCCGGAGTTCCATCCCCTGTACCAAAAAAAAGATCATGGACTGAGTGGTTTATTTACTAGGGCGATCCCAGCACTTGAGAGGCTGAGGCAGGAGGTTCACTACAAGTTCAAGGCCAGCCTGAACTACAAAATGAGACCCTGTCTCAAAAAAACAAAAAAAGAAAAGAAAAAGAAAATGACTTGAAATGCTGGAAACTAGGATCCAGTACAGGAAAATAGTGACATTTACTACACCTGCCTCACAAGAAAAGAGTACAAAAGAGGGCACTAATTATATATTTTGACTAATTTAGACTATTTGATCATAGGCTACTGCCAACTATACTGTTACTTGAAACTCCACCAGGGGGTACAATACAAATTATGGCATACATGCACATTCTGCTTTTTCTAACTCCAAATATCCCTGAATTCTACAACATATCTGACTATAAGTTCTCTAAAGTTGATACAGAAATGGCTGCATAAATGTTACTTAGAAATATGGCCAAAATAGAGTTCAGATTTACTACCTCAGATGGTTCTTCAATACAAATATCTTCACATCATTTTATTTTTAGTTTTTTGTGTTATTAGCACATATTTGCAGTGCATAACAATTATATTCATCGTGGGGAATTGGTACATACACATAACACATCTCAATTCTTTTACCTCCCCTTCCTTCCCTCACCACCCCCTCCACCTCTTGGTCCCCTTCCTATTTAAAGATTCATCTCCCTGCTTCCTATTATCTTGTATTTTTCTCTTCAATTTATTTACACTTTGGGTTTCTCATACAAGAGAAACATTACAATATTCAAGCTTATGTGTCTGATTTACTTCGCCTAACACTGTGGTCTCAAAGTGTATCCAATTTCCTACAAATGATTCAAATGTATCCTTCTTTGTAGCAGAGTAGTACCCCAATGTAATTATCACGTTTTCTTTATCCATTCATCCAAAAGAGCTAACCTGACCACTCAAGTCCTTGGTTATTCTCTACCTCATCATTCTAAATTTGAAAACATAAACCTTTCAAAACTAAATAACAAAGCTAAAATCAAGTTCACCAAAAAGGAAACTAAGGCAAACTATTTATAATATTTGCTGTCCAGTATCTCAAGAAAACACTGTACCATCAGGCATGGTGATGCTCGCCTATAAATCTCAGCGCATGGGAGATTAAAGCAGGAGGATTGCTGTTTGAGGCCAGCTTGGACTACATAGTGAGTTCAAGGCCAGCATGCATGATATATAGCAAGACCCCATCTCAAAAAAACAAATATGGGGCGGGGGGGGCATTGTACCGCAAACAGCTAGCACAGGAAAAAAATCAAAACTCAAAATGACTATTTCTCTTGAATGTGAATTGTTACTGCACCACCATAAAGTCAAAAAACTGAAAACTGAACCATCGTAAGCCAGGGGCCATGTGCATAAAACACTCTTGAAAATCAACAATAAAAAAACCTCCATCAAGGGCCGGGGATTTACCTCAGTGGTGCCAACACCTGCCTCACAGCACAAGGTCCTGAGTTCGATCCCCGATAAACAAACAAACAAACAAACAAAAAGATGACTGACCAGGACTTTCAAAAACAAAAGTGGTTATAAAGTATTTTTAAAGACTCTCATTTTTATAACATATGCACACACACACAAACACACATTACGTACCCTATACAAATATTTACAGATGTATCTTTTTTACCCTTAGAACTAGGCTTCAACCCAAGGCCTTTGCAATGAACTACATTCCCATCCCTGTTTTTATTTTTTCCTTTTATTTTGAGACAGGGTCTCACTAAGTTGCCCAGGCTCAGCTAGAACTTGGGATCCTCCTGCCTCAGCTTCCCACAGTACTGGGATTACAAGTGTATACCACCATACCTACCTATGTGTACCTTTTTTAAATCAAAAGGCATTATATGCCAACAAGTAATTAACGATTAACCCTGTGTCACTATTAGAAAATTTTAAACTCTAATAATTTTTTTGCAATTCTAAGGATTTCATACAACCACCACTAATTTATATCATCAGGACAAAGAAAACAATTCCAAGTTTAAATTAACATTTTTGAAAGGGCAGTTCAAGGTTCTTGGTCTCTGTCTACCTCTCACCCAACAGACCAAGTTAAACATACTCTGGTGCCAGAGACCTATTACTGGTATGCCTGCCTGAAGGCAAAAATCAGGACTCCCTAGGATTTCCCATTCACCCTTTTTAAAGTTCTGTGGCACTGTCTGCAACACTGTTCTGCAATTTCTTATATGTACATCTGCCACAACAAAGACTAAGAACCTTCTGATCTTGTCTGCTTACTTCCAAATCCACAGAACTATGTAATGCCCCCAATATACACCCTTTAAAAGTAACAGCTACTACAAAATGCATCTGTTGCAAAAATGGATTTGTGAATGGTATGTTTCCATAAGGCTGGGTATGTAAATATAACCTGATGATGATGTTGGGATATTCAGAACTCCTGTTGTGAATGTGTTTGATTTAAACTGACAAACTAGCAGGCTGCCTCCTCAGAGGACACAATGATTAGCTAGGCAGTGAAGAAAAATAGTTATACGAATGGAAGGCAAGTGGAGGGAAAGGAGGGAAAGGGGAAGTAAAAAAAAATTAAGATATGGGGCCAGGGATTTACCTCAGTGGTTCCGGCGCCTGCCTTGCAAGCGCGAAGTCCCAAGTTTGATTCCCAGTACCAAAAAAAAAAAATTAAGATGTGTTATGTGCATGTACCAGCTCTCCACAATGAATGCAATCGTTACGTATTATGAATATGTACTAATAAAAATAATTTTAAAATTTTTTAAAGTTATAAAAATAACCCTTAACATACCAGTAGCATTTAAAAAACCTCTAGTATAACTGAAAGACTTCTAGTTTCCTACAATGTGACATCTTCATAAAATACTAGGTTGTTAGGAGTAACATCACAATCATAAAGCTTATTTTCTAAATTTACTGCTGGTGTTCATGAATAGCACAGGAAGTAGAAAAGCTACACAAGCATTCTGTGCCTGACCTCATAAAAGTGCACACATGTACACATATGCCCCTGAAAACACATATTCTCCTAGTTCCATGTTGATGGAACTTACCTGATTCACAAGTTCTGGGATTCCCAAAGCTCGGTCAATTTCTTCCAGGCCTGTTGCATCCGTGTTGCTCAAGAGTGTGTGCAGCTGGTCCAACAGAGCTCTTTCATCACTCTGGCCTTCCAGGTTAGAAGGTGGCCCAAGGAGATCATCCAGAGAATTCCTAAGAATTGGTCTAGAAAGAGACTTACAATCAGGTTTTTTGTCTTTTTCTTTTTTTGGTACCAGGCATCGAACTCAGGATCTTGTACTTGCCAGACAGGCATGGCACCACTAAGCTACATACCCAGCCCTACAATCAGTTTTAATGGCAGTTGGGCAGGGACTGTAGCTCAGTGGCTATAAGTGCTTGCCTAGCACTAGCTCAACTGAGTTTAATGTCTAGAATACAAAAAAAAAAAAAACAAATTTTCTTTTTAAAAAATAGATAAGCAGAAGGGCTAGAGATGTAGCTCAGTGGTAGAGTGTTTACCTAGCGTGCAAGAGGCCCCAAGTTGAACTCCCAGTACTGCAAAAAGAAGATAAGCTGGGTAAAGTGGCACATACCTGTAATCCTATAATCCCAGCTACTTGGGAAGCTGAGATGGGAGGCCAAGGCCACTGAGTTCAAGGCCACTCTGGGCAACTTAGCAAGACCCATTCTCAAAATAAAAAGGGTTTAATCTCCAGTAACACACGCACAAGATAAAAAAATTGACCATTCCGGGCATGATGGAGCATGCCTACAATCCCAATACTTGGGCAGGTGGCAGAGGCAGGAGAATCACCGCAAGTTCGAGGCCAGCCTAGGCTACATAGTGAGTTCAATGCTAGTCTGAACTACGTGGTGAGGCCCTGTTTCAAAAAAACAAAAAAAACATATATATAGTCTATTATTATTATATTAATTTATAATATATAGTAACTCACATACTTCAAGTAAAACAATAAACCAGGTAGTAAAGAACAGTGAATGGCATCAATATACATTTAGGACCCACAATGTGAAAATTTCACCTATCTGAGACCAACATATGAAGTTTACACCCTCAACCCCACCACCAAAATGTAACTGCCAAGTCCCAAGTGAGGGACAGCAGAAGTTGAGGGAAAGCACCATGGGGAAGATGGTGCTTTTTTCAAGATAAGAACAGAGGTATAGTAGTTCTAATACTTGAAAAGCATAGAAATAGCAAAAGAACAAAAGGCTAGAAATGTTGAACTATCAATGATTTGCAGTCTGGAAAACTGCCAAAATAACATTTTGTTATAAGTTTGTATTAACAAGTATAATACAAGCTCTACACACAGCAAGGTGTCATAGTTCTCTAACACATGGAAGAGCACAAAGTGAGATATTTATCCTTCCGGGAAAAAATTCTGTTAAAAAAAGGTTGGGCCAGGAATTTAGCTCAGTGGTTCTGCAGCCTGCCTCGCAAGCGCAAGGTCCCAAGTTTGATCCCTGGTACCAGAATGAATGAATGAATGAATGAATAAAATGCAGACTTAATCCACAGTCTTTCTTCACTTGATCTTAGCCAAAAGGCCGAGAAGCAATCACAGTCTTTCTTTTACAAAGATAAATAGGTGAAATAGTCCACTTTTACCACCATCACAGAAATGCTTTAAATAACTTTAGAAAACTATCCAAGCTGGTTGTGGTGGCAAACACCTATATCCCCAGCACTTAGGAGGCTGAGGCAGGAAAATTGCTACAAGTTTGAGGCCAGCTTGGCCTACATGTGTATTGAATTCAAGACCAGCCTGAACTACACAACAAGATCCCCTCTCAAAAAACCAAAAATAAAAAACCACTATCCAATCCTTAAAAACTAATTTTCAGAAAAACTGAGGCTTCCTCTCTAAACACCATTTATAAAACCAATGGAAATATGTACTTATACTGGCAAACTATTAATTTTTCTCCCTCCTCATGAGATTATCATTAGCAAAAAACGATCACCTAGGGCCAGGGATTTTGCTCAGTGGTTCCGCCACCTGCCTTGCAAGCTCAAGGTCCTGAGTTCGATCCCCGGTACAAAAAAATCACCTCACAGAGAGATTCTCGGAGAACTGACCACTACATGGTCCTGATCACTAACAGCACAGCTTTGTCTCTGCCTGCTGTTTCAGGATGGCAACTGAGTACTTCAACTACAGAGAATTTTTCACATTCTCTTTCAGGTTTTATTTTTCCTACTCTGACTCTTTTCTAGATCACCCAATGCTAACATGTTCAACAGTCACAAAATAAAGCCCCACCTATTTTGAGTTGCATGAGGGCCCTGTTCCATGGACAGCATGCCATCTGGCCAGGAACCTGGTTGACTAGATGGTGCTGCTTGGCCATACGGATTGACCCCCATTCCCATGGCAATCTCACCAGGCTCTAGAGGAGTAAAAAGAAAAGTGTTAAGTTTCCAAATAAGCCAATAGTAAAAATTACCCTAAAATAACTAATGGTATTTTTTTATGACACATACTCATCTGAAGCTGCTGCTGCTGCTCCTGCTGCTGATGCTGCTGCTGCAGCAACACTGGCCTTGCACTTGGTATGTTATTTGACCGAAGAGGCAAGGCTGGCATAGCACTTCCCATTGATGGTCTGGGTAAAGAACTGGGTAAAGAAGCACTGTAATCTCCTCCTGGTCTTCCCATGGAGTTTGAACTCACAGGTTCCATTCTGCTGGCCTTTGAATTTGGTAAGCCCCAGTCTCCTGAGGTAGGAGTCTGGCTCACAGTTGCATTTCTGTTTGGTCCACCTGAAACAGGTAAAAATGATTAGGTCTTTTCCATAGCATAATGAAATCCTCTTTATGGCCATTAAGATATTGTCTTTGCCAAAGTACTATGTCATCCTGGGAACAGTCCTGGCCAAATATGATGATGATGATTTCAATTAGCCACTATTCACACATTCTGATTATAAGTCAAAATAATGTCTTAGGCCAACAAATTCTTTAAGAGTTTAAATAACCAAGACATAAAATAAATAAGTATCTTTATGAAAGAAACATTATGTTAATATTTTTAGACTTATTTTTCCCCAATTATTTAAATAGCTTAAAGTACTTAAATTGTGCTTTGCTCAAAAGACTTTTTAAGCATAAATATAGAAATAACCTACCCATGTTTGAGCCATAATTTTCCTGACTATCCATCATTCTTGGAGTCCCACCCAACATGGGCTGCTTTGGTAACATGGGGAAAGCACTGATATTCTTTATTGGAGGACTTGAGCCAACGGTAACAGGGCTATCTAGAGAAACTGCTCGGCTATATGGAGGACGAATGGACTGCACAGACTGTGGACTTCTCAAGCCTGCTGAAAACACAGAAGCACACTACATAAATATCTCATGCTGATTCAATACATAAGTGATCAAGTCACCTGTAATCCCAGCACTCAGGAGGCTGAGGCAAGAGGATCGCTGCATGTTCAAGGCCAGTCTGAGCTACACAGTGAGCTCAAGGCCAGCCTTAAATACAGTGAGATTCTGTCTCAAAAAAAAAAAAAGAAGAAAGAAAGAAAGAAAATATGCAAGTGATCATGTACAAGATATGAACATCACCATTCCCCACACGAGAATGTCCTTCTCACAAAAATAAATACTGTATTCCTTTACAAAATAAATCCTAAGCTAAAAAAAAATTACACATTCCAAATAAAGTAGAAACAACAATTTCAGCAATGGCTGAAGTACTGGGTATTCTTCCACAGCCTACTGTGTAATTCATATTCTGATTCATAGCATACTGAAAAGTCCACCAGGCTGAGGATGTAGCTCAGTGGTACAGTGCATGCTTAGCATGCATGAGGCCCCGGATTCAATCTCCAGCACCACAAAAAAGGGGAGAGAAAGAGGTGGGGAGGGGAGGGAAGGAAAAAATTTCACCAATAATTTACTAACTTTTCAAACTCCTGGAGGTTCTTACCTATGTATACTTATTAAACATATTCTGATTATAATTTTATAATAAATATAACCAAGTTGGGCTGGGTGATTTAGCTCAGTGGTTCTGCCGCCTGCCTTGCATGCGGGAAGTCCCGAGTTCGATCCCTGGTACCAATATATAAATCAATCAATCAATCAATCCAAGTAAGCTGTCTTCTAATCAAATAAGGAATGAAATATAGAATTCCTGCCAAGCAAGGTGGCGTATACCTTAATCCCAGCAGTCAGGAGGCTAAGGCAGGAGGATCACTGTGAGACAGAGGCTACATAGTGGGACCCTGTCTCAAAAAGCCAAAAAGAAATACAATTTCTCCTAAAATATCCCCCTCCCTTTTTTCCCAATCTATTTGATTGATCTGATATACATTTCAGTTTAGAAAACTAAAAATCAATAATAACCATTCTAGGTAATTGTAAATTATTCCTTTTCAACTGATACACAGAATATATCTCCTTGTTAAAATGGTCAATGAGTAAATACATAAGAAATACAGGAGAACTTAGCTAAGAACCAGAGGATAGGTTTTAACCTATCATCTGGGTTGGTTTTTAATCCAATTCTCTGTGGCTAAAAAAGACATAAGCCCTAGCACCTACTACTCATATGAATAAACAAAAATTAACATTTTCCTACAAGTACCATGGTTACTGGCATATTCATTAAAAATGAAACTTTTTAAAGGAAAACAACACCAAAAAACTTTTAAAATCACATACACTGAATTAGTACGAGAAACTGAAAGGCAGAGTATGTCTTAATTTAAAATGGTAGTGGGCTGGGAATTTAGCTCAGTGGTGCCACTGCCTGCTTCACAAGTGCAAGGTCCTAAGTTTGATCCCCAGTACCAAAAAAAATAAAATAAAATGGTAGTTATATCCTGTTTACATACAAGTAAACAGAAAAGTTTCAAATAACAAAAACTAGTTTGCCCTTACCCAGAGAATTAGTTCCTTGAAACATCTGTTGCTTGCTCCCCAGATGACTACCATTTGTCGATATAGGGTTATTGTAAAAGTCAGAACTACTCAGATCACCAAGAATAGCATCTAGATTATCCAAGTCTCCAGATCCCTGAAAATGAAATTTTAAAAATTAACCTATGCAGCATGCTAGATATACATCTATAAACATGTTCATCAAAAGAAAATATATGAAGGAACAAATAAAATATAAGTTACCTAAAATGATAATACCCAACTTAACACCTAACCAGGTGACTCCCCTCCTATGACTCCCCTCCCTAATCTTCCTCCTTCAGAAGTATCAACAGTTTACAAATCACTAAACTTGGTGCTTGCAAAAGGCATTTTTGTCATTTAAATTAGACATTTAACTTTCAAACTATGGTATTTTCCAGCAAAAAAGAAAAAAATTTTAAAAAGTTAAAATTTAAATGAGTATGTTCCAGTTAACAATCACTAGCAGAGATCATTAGTTAATAGATGTCTGCACCTATACATACCTTCTATAAGTAAGGGTGATTAGTAATACAAGCAGCAAGCTGGTGTTAACAAGATATTCATGGGGTGCTCTAAAAAGATCACTAAATGTGATGAGCACTAGCTCAAAAGTTAAACCCACACCCTAACTGTAAGACTTCTCCCAAGCCTTTTGTTTGCTCCTAGAGTAGTGTTTAAGAGGAGTTTGGGAAATGCTTACATAGAATGTGAGCATGTAAATGAAACCTGATTATTAGATAAGAATCAAAAGTGGACCAGGGATTTAACTCAGCAGAAGTCCGCCTGCCTTGCAAGCACAAGGCCCTCAGTTTGGTCCCAGGCACCAGGAAAAAAAAAAAAAAATCAAAATTATGTTCAATTCAAATTTTTTTCCTCCTTCTATAATAGCCTTAATGACTCAATCTGCTTGTTCCAAAACAGCCCCAAAAATTTTCAAATTGCCATGTAAGTTATATCCACAGTTCAGAAGATACACAGCTGCGCCAGGGATTTAGCTCAGTGGTTCTGCTGCCTGCCTCACAAGCACAAGGTCCAGAGTTCGACTGCTGGTACCAAAAAATTTTAAAAAAGATACACAGCCAATATTTCCAAATTGCATCACAATACTTTGCTAATAAGCAAAAGTATTACAAAGAAATGAAAACTTGGGCCAGGGATTTAGCTCAGTGGTTCCGCTGCCTGCCTAGCAAGCACAAGGTCCCGAGTTCGATCTCCGGTACCAAAAAAAAAAACAAAAAAGAAGAAGTGAAAACGCAAGACTAACTTCCCCTAAATAAGCCTTAAATTAGCAAACAAATATTTGTGTATAACACATTATCTTTCTAAACAGATGACACACAACGTCTAAGCTGGAACAGAGAGAAAATCAATTACCTCTTCACTTGTTTCCGTCTTAATTTTAGGGTCTTTCTCTTGAGTTGAGCTGGGAATAGTGGAGCTGCTGCACTGACTCGTTTTATTATTCATTCCTTCAACTTGGGGCTGTAATTCTTTACAGAGTGTATCACTGGGATCATCCCTGTCCAGCAAGTATCTTAGAAGTGCATTATTCTCCTTCTTCTTAGGACTCAGCTGCTCCTGCTTGACAGTTCCTTCCCCACAAGCAATTATACTGCTGGTGTCTTTTCCAGTGGCTTCTGCAGTAATCTTGGCCACTTCAGCTGGTGAATTCCCATTCTGCAGCAACTTATGCAAAATCCGGTGCTTCTCTTGCAACAGTGACCCATGCATATTGGATGTGGAGGACACTCCTCCAGATGTTGAGGAAGAGACTCCAGAGGGGCTGGTGACACTAATGGAAGAGTCTTTACAACTTGAATCCAAGGGGGAGCTGGTCAAGGAGGAATGGCCTCGGTCATCAGAAGAGCAGGTGAGTAACTGCAGTAATTTTTTATGACCTTTGCTTTCCAAAGGACCCTTCTGATTCTCTGCCCCTTCACCACTGCTCTCCTTACTTTCTTTGTCATTGAGGTGATCTCTGCTATTTGACTGACACATTGTACTCTCCACTGGATTCTGGTCACAGTACAAGCCTAAGGGACTCTTAGAATCCTGACTGCTCACTTTACTTGGTTGGGTTAAATTCATATTGGGAGAGTTATCCAGTTTGGGTCCTGGTGAAGACAAAGTAGATAAAAGAGAAGTCCCCACACCCTCACTAATGGCTTGCAGGGCACTGAGAGAGCTGCTGGAAAAGTTGTGGCTCCCTGTATTGCCAGAAGATCCCATGGGAGAATGTACTCCTGCATTTGGACAAAAAGTGGGAAATTAGGCTATTAGACAAAACAGTACTTCAGTTTCTATTGCAAAATTAATTAATTATAAGAATTACACGGGTCTGAGAAAGAAAACTAAAGAAAAAACGCTAACATGAATACCTGCAACAGGAGAAAACTGATGTGACGCCATCTTTGGACTCCCACGATTACGAGGTGAAATCATAATATTCTGCTGGTTGGAACCAAGACCAGGACTGCCATGTGTGGGGCTACTCATGTTGAGCCCATAGGTGTTGTTTTGGTAGGAAGATGGTGACTGCATGCCTGGCCCAGCTGTCAGTGAAGCAATGTTACTGGAAGCACCATACCTAGCTCCACTCAGCTGCCCTGTGGTGCTGGGGTCTCCCAAGCCGTAGGCCCTGCTGCTCAGCATCTGTAAGCCTTGATTTTGTGACATGCTCAAGCTGCCTACCGAACTGCTGCATCCAGCAGCAGGAGGTCTAATGCCTTGTCCTACAGGACCTGGGTTTGGTCTATACCCATTCTGTTCTCTGCAAAGAAAGAAACATCAAACTTTTACTAAAAAATTACAGGAATGGATAATACCTACTGACACACTCAATTTAGGTACTGATCACTAATCCAATAATGTATTTTTTAGTAAGTCAGAAAATCTAAATTAGAGTGATACCACCACAGTGCTGTGAAGGACCAACAGCTATGTTAACTGGAATCTCAGCAAGGCTTTAGTAGAATTGCCACATATCTAGGGGTTAACCTGAAAATACCTGCAAATTACTCAAGATAATTAATGGATCAATATCCATCTGTTGTTTAGTTACCATTAGCAATACCAGTAGTTACTATCCTTTATTCTTATAGTATACCTTCAAATTTTAAATTCAATCCCTAAAAGCAATGTAATACATCATTAGAAATCAAAAGCCAGGCATAGTAGCACGTGCCTTTAATCCCAGCACTAGAGAGCCTGAAGCAGGAGGATCACCACAAGTTCAAGGCCAGCTGGGGCTACGTATGCATTCAAGGTCAGCCTGGACTACACAGTGAGACCTTGTTTCAAAAAACCTAAACACCCCCCAAAACAGAAATGAAAGGTAACAGCGGTAATCAGATTTTATTGCTCTTCATCCACCAGACTTCCCATCTCTTAGCTTTCCCATGAAGTATTTAGTGAAATATTCATTTTACACAAAAATATATTGATAAAGAAAATAATCTAGGAATCTAAATTAGCTTCACCCAATCCAACAATTTCTGTTTCTCTCATTACATTTTTTCTTTTTACATTAATAAAGCACCTTGTGAAAACAGTACTGTGCATGTGTGTGTTAAATGCAACCATCATTACCTCTGAAGAAAGTGAGTTGAGACAAAACCATGACGATCATTTGTTACAGGATTTCGGAAGAGTTTACTTTTTGTTTGTGCAGTCACTATAGTTCCATCAGCCAACGAAAATCGATACATTGGGGTTTCTGCATGGCCATGAATATAAGCTGTTAAGGGAAATACACTATTACTAGTATTTACAATTAGTAAAATAAATGCTTGTATTTAGCAGAGAAGAGGAAGGAATTACATTTCAAGCCCAAAATATTTTAAATCCAGTGAAAGACTGGACTTGCACCAAAATTATAAACTAAGTTGGCTCAAGAATTATTTTCCAACCAGTGAGAGAATGCACCAGTTATGGTGCCACACGCCCATAATCACAGCACTTGGGAGGCTGAGGCAGGAGGGTCGCTGCAAGTTCAAGGCTAGCCTGGGTGATGTAGTGAGTTCAAGACATGCATGAACTACATAGTAACACCCTGTCTCAAAAAAACAAAAAAAAATTTTTTAAAGAATTATTTTCCTCCCCCCACACCCACAGTCATGTGTATGTTATAACATACCCAACTATCTAGATCAAGAATCAACTCCAAATGTCTTTACCTTCTTGATAGTGACGTTTCTGGGACCATGACTGCCCATCATTAAGACTAAAAAACCTCTGAATACACCTTCGGATTATATCTTCAAAGCCAGGCCTCATGGAGGATCTTAGTGAATTTGTATCTATATTAACAACCTTTCCTGCAAACAGAAAATAAAGATTTAAATACCACCCAGAAGTATTTAGTCCTGCCTACCCACGGCTTAGCAGAAAAGAAATGAAAGATATTAAATCTTTATCCTGCCTTCTCTAGCCCAAATTGTTGTTTCTCCTTGAAGACATAGTCCTGTAAGATGCTGTTATGCCTACATGTTCTGCTATGGGGTATAATAATATACATATTTGTCTTGTCCACTTCCTGGCATAAAACTCATAAAACCCTTACAATTTTCTCATAAGAGAATCTGCGCTACTGATTCATAAGAAATCTCTCCGATCAAATCTATTCCAATGAGGTGATTTAGGGTAGTACATCCAGATAGTCTCAGGAGCTAATCATCGGAAGGACCACGTGACTAGAGGACTAGAGCTATCAACTCCATCTATGACTTAAAGTAGGGAGATAAAAACTCTTGAACAAAAGACCCAGTGAGGGGCCAGGGATTTAGCTCAGCGGTTCCGCTGCCTGCCTCGAAAGCGCAAGATCCTGAGTTTGATCCCCAGTACCAAAAAAAGACCCAGTGAGCTTCCAGGTTGGTAAAGGTGGGGAAAATGCCTGGAGAGGGCATGGAAATTCTCCAGGGGAGTTGAGTTTTTGAAGTGATCCTTGCTGATGTGCAGAATGAATAAGTTGCAGTTAGAAAATCCAAAAGTAATTACTAAGGAACCAAGAGACAAAAACTGTAACTGCCGTGGCATCGCTCTTGCTTGGGACAAAATTTGTTCCATGGGCCAAAAATTGGCAGACTAACTGAAACCCATGTTGATGTCAAAATTAGCAATAATTATTTATCTGTTCTGCACAGGTTTTACTAAAAAATACAATGCTCAGATCCACAACACTGGTTATGTTCAACACAAATAGTGCTACTTAAATCCTGAAGATGACAGACATTACAACTCAAGATATCTGAAAGACTAGAAACAAGCAGCTTGCTGACTCTAAGAAGACTGGGAGCCGGGGATTTAGCTCAGTGGTTCCGCCGCCTGCCTCACAAGCAAAAGGTCCCGAATTTGATCCCCGGTACCAAAAAAAAGAAGATGACTGGGAAAGACAGAAAAACACCAATTCATGCATCATCTCGTTAGAACAGTAAAAATACTGAAGAAAACAAAGTATGGACTAAGAAAACCCATGGGAATCCACAGTGCAAGGTAGTTCTGAAAAAGCTACTGAGGATGAGAAAAGAACTAATGTGGACTGAGCTGAGAGAAATAAGCCACCAGTTCAATAATTGTTAAAACCAGAGTTTTAATGGTGATCAAAAATAAAAATGTTATTAGTTGCGGGGGGAGGGAATGACTAGGGAGAAAACATTCTAGGAAACAGCAAATTAAGTATCTATGCACTGTGAATACAGAACAGTCCTCAAGCCCTTCTCCTGAGCTTAGACCTGAACCACATGTCAAACACATGTACATATTACACATACCCTCTAATAGCAACAGATACACTTTATATTTATTTAAAACTACTCCATTTATGAAATCACTTACTAAAACTTTGAGGTGTAAAATTAGTGTTACACAAAGCTAACCTACAGGCTTTCTTTTAAATCAAACAGACCTAGTACACATTCTCTTATTACCCATGATCTAGGACAATAAGCTAGCTTCTCTTATCACCAAGCCCATATGTCTCCTCTCTGAGATGAAGTACACAGGACAAAGCCTTGGCTTCATCATTTAGGGTTAGATGATCACAAGAGTGAGCCTGAAGGTGTATACAGGTAACAGTGGCACCATGTTTAACTTCTTAAATGTGTTTTATCAACTGTGATGTCATCAATTCTTTATTCCTCTGGTCAAAAATGGCAAACTGGGGCTGGGATTTAGCTCAGTGGTTCCACTGCCTGCCTTGCAAGCGCAAGGTCCCGAGTTTGATCCCCTGTACCAAAAAAAATTTTTAAATGGCAAACCAAGCTGAAGCTCATGTTGATATCAAGAATTATTGTCAGCACGCAAGGACCCGAGTTCAATCCCCAGTACCAAAAAAAAAGAATTATTGCCAGTAATTCTCATTATCTGCATTTTTTAATACATTTCTTTAGAATAAATGGGCTTGGAGCCAGGGATTTAGCTCAGTGGTACCGCCGCCTGCCTCATAAGCACAAGGTCCTGAGTTCAATCCCCAGTACCAACAAAAAGAATAAATGGGCTTGAAGTTAGAGAAAAGTGATAATTCTGATGCAAAATGATATTTGGAGAAAACAGTGCCACTATATTTATTGCTTAATTTGTTTATGTAAGGGGTTTTAAGTGCCAAAATATACTCAAATGCTGTGACTGGTAGTGAAATTCACTGTGTTCTTTAAGAAACAAGGGTATAATACACAAGGAATTAATTCCAGTGGGTATAAACACTTAAATGATCACACAGAATGAAGAAATAGTTAACTCCTATAACAATTTTCAAAGTGAAGATGTACATGCACACACACATGCCTGGACATACAGTTTTACCTGAAAGATCATGTCTAGTAATAAAGCTCTCAGGACTTGATGGAAATGCTCTTTCTCCTGTAGTAATGCGGCGTGCCACACAGATCATACAGGATTGCAAATCTATAACAAAAATTTAATCAGATAAAGACTAGAATTGTTTTTTAATGTCTATTCAATAAGAGAGCAGCCGGGGATTTAGCTCAGTGGTTTTGCCGCCTGCTGCACAGGCGCAAGGACCCGAGTTCAATCCCTAGTACCAAAAAAAATAATAGTAAGAGAGCAAAGACAAAAAAGTGAGAGTTGGAATAATGGAGTTACAAAACTACAGTGCGGCTGCTGTGTGTTTCATAAACGTCATGAACATGATTCCTCTTACCTTCCCCCTCCTCCATCATAGCTCGTGGCTGAGACAAGGCAAAGCACTGCATTGTTTCATATCTCTGGCGCATTTCAGGACTGGTGCTCATATCTTCTAGAACATCGTGTGTTGTTTTTATCAACATACGACAATTAAAGGTATGGCTCTTTTGTCTCTGGGTCTCCTTTGTCCAGGAAACTCCATTAACTTTAGAAAATAAATTGAAATGACTTTTTACAAATCTGGTATCTCAAGTCTATGATATCAGCAAAATTCAAGCTTTATAAGCCAGGTGTAATAACGCATGCCTATAGTCCCAACTATTCAGTTGGCTGAGGCAAAGGGCCGTTTGAGCCCTACAGTTCGAGACCAGTCTGGACAACATAGCAAGATCCTGTCTCAACCAAAAATAACAAAAAAAATTATGCTGCATTTTTTCATTACATATGTTTTCATGGAATGATCTACACTAACATTTCAGAACACCAATATACAAAACATATGAATAATTTCAACTTCAACAGAAATTATTACTATGTATTTTAGCCCCATAAATAATGTATATGCCATATTTTAAATTTACTGAGGCCATATTTGAAATGTTTCCTAGTAACCACTTATCTTTCTACACAAGTTTGATCACCTGGTTTCCTACAAAGTACATTCAATTTTCTAAGAAATAATAAAGGAAAACAAATTTAAATATTTAGAAAATGCACACTAAGAGCCTACCTGTAGATTTTGGTAAGTTTTTAAGAAAATCCTTTCTGTCTTCTTCATGCAAGATATTGTAGACACTTGTGTTAACCAGGTCTTCCTGTTTATATTGCAGGTATTGTGTGACATTTTCTGACACAAATACAATGTTTCCATCTCGATTCACCACAAACAAAAAACCATCCAATGCCTATAATGGGATATGTTATTACAGGCTGTTACAGACTGAACTGCATCCCCCACAAAATTCCTATGTTGAGGCTCTTACCCTCAGTGAGACAAAATTTGTAGATACAGCCTTAAGGAGGTAATTAAGGATAAAAGAGGTCATAAGGGCAGGATTCTAACCTAATATGACTGGTGTCCTTATCAGGAGACATAAAAAAGACAGCAGGGATGCATGCACAGAGAAAAATGCCACAGTGAGAAAATGAGGATAGTGACAAATCAAGGAGAGATGACTCAAAAGAAACCAATCCTGCCTATACCTTGATCTTTAACTAAAGCTTCCAAAACTGCAATAAAATTTCTCTTAAGCCACCCAGTCTGTGATACTGTAATGGTAGCTTAACAGAGTAAGAAAACAGACTTAGTAATAATACACCTGGGGAGAAAGGGGGTGTTGACTTAACAGTCACTGTAAGCCAAGCATGTTGGGCTCACTCCTATCCTAGCACTCTTTGCAGGCCGAGGCAGGCAGATCACAAGATCAAGCATAGCCTGGGCAACTTAATGACTTAGTGAAACTGTACAAAATTAAAATATAGAAAATGGATTAGGTAAGCCAGGTGTGGCAGTGCACACCTATAATGCCAGCACTGAGGGAGGGTGAGGCAGGAGGATCCCAAGGTTGAAAACTACTTGGGGAAATGAATGAAAACGTGTCTCAAAATAAAGTTATGGGGATGTAGCTCAGTAAGCACCCCTCAGTTAATCTCCAATATCACCACAAAAAATAATAAATAAAAATAAAAATACACTTGGGAGGCTAAGGCAAGAGGATCATGAGTTAAAGCTAGCCTGGACCACAGAGTAAGGCCCTGTCTCAAAATTAAATTAATTAATTGAAACTAAAAAGGATTGGGGATGTAGCTCAGTGGCAGTGTTTGCCAAGCACACATGAGGCCCTGGGTTCAATCCTTAGTACTGAAAAAAAATTTTTTAGAAAATCATCCTTAGCTCTTCCCATTTGCTACTATTTTTAAATGAGAATCTACAAGGAGAAATTTAAAAATTAATCAACTAAAAAGCAATGGGAACAAACTAAAACAAAAACAAGTTGACAAGTAAACTTTACGAAGGGCTTCAGCCACTACCCTTGAAGTAAAACATTGTGTAAGTGCCACAGGTCAACACAATCTATTTAAGGCAACAAAACAGTGTCCATTTTTTAAGTTTTAAAAATTCCTCAAGAATACAGAACAAAGGGCTGGGGTGTGGCTCACTACTAAAGCACTTGCCTATCATGCATAAGACTCTGGGTTTGACTACTAGCACCACAAAAAACTAAAAGAGCAGAGCAGAGCTTGTATAGCATGTAAGAGAGGCTGGGTTCAATCCCTTGAGTTGCCCAAAGAACAAAAACAAAACACAAAAACCCTGTAGTGTCCCCATATGTTCGTCCAAAATGCACAAAAAATGTAAACACACAAAATGCAAAAATGCACAAAAAAGGTGAGAGCTAAAATATACCCAAGTATTAACCTCTGTGAAACACTGGGTTACTTTTGTGAAATGCGTTACCTTCCCTCTCCTGCTTTAGTTGTGTGTGTGTGTGTGTGTGTGTGTATGTGTGTGTGTTTTCAGTTTGCAACTATATTTTTATTAGGGGGCAGGGCCTTCTGAGTTAAATATATTGTAAACATAAGAACACTTTAACACTGTATTCTGAATACTGAGTTCTGTCTCCCAGAAAGGTCTTGTGGTTGCTGTTCCTTTCATTTCCTAACCAAAAAATTTTGACTACTTTATCACTTTAGAATATAACCAAAGTACAATACAATTTGGACAGTAAAATCTTTTTATTTACCTGAAGTAAAAGTGGTCCTAAAGAGTCTTTATCAATAACTCCCTGTCCTGTAGAAGATACATCAGCTTTCTGAACATCATCATCACTGGAAACAGCTTTTCCTGAAAAAATTGAAGGCAATACTATGAACAGCACATATATCAGTCGTAAATTAAATCTACCTTCAAACAGTGCAGACACTGACACACAGTCACACACTTCCCCTGGGAAGAGAATGATACCACAATTTTAAAATACTAAACTTTATAGTTATTCAAAGAGGTAGACAATACCCTAAATTCTCTTTTCCTGATATAACCCATAGCTTCCAGAAAGGAAGCTAACATCTGACAGGGTGACCAACGCTGGCCTTCTTCCAATTCTTTGTTAACTGTTTCCTCAAAAAGCAAAGCTGACCAATTCACTTATCCAATCCTGTGCTCTTTAGCCTCAATCACCTATAGTTCCTAAACAAGGTAGCCCAAAAGGCAAATGTAGGGGCCAAGGATGTGTAGCTCAGTGGTAGAGCACTTGCTTAGCATGTGTGAGGCCCAGGGTTTGAGCCCCAGCACAAGAAAGGGGAAGGAGGAAAGGTGGAAAAAAGGAAAGGAGGAAGGGGGGGTGGGTAAACAAAAGACTATGTTTCTACTTTGTATTACCTTGCTCTTTTATTTGACGTATTTGTCTTACTGTTTCCTTTAAAATCGCACATTTATCTGGTTTGACGTTGAAATTGTCAATATCACTAAGATTTGCAGATATCAGTTCAGCCAATTCTTCGATATATTTACTCTCCTGTTCTCTTCTCCACTTTTCACCACTGCAGGTAAGACTAAGAGGGGAGAAAAGCCATGATATATACCTATCACAAAAGATCTGTGAGCAGACTGGATGTGGTGGCCCAGGCCTGTAATCCCAACACTTGGGAGATAGTTCCCGGCCAACTTGGGCTACCTAGTGAATTCAAGGACAGCCTGTCTCAAAATAGAGCTGTGAGCAAAACCAACCTCTAACACTACCATTACTTTCATGTGTGAACCACTTTAACCAATAGAAACTACCAAGCTGGGTGTGATACAACATACCTGTAATCCCAGCTCTAGGGAGGCTGAAGCAGGAGGACTGCCACCAGTTCAAGGCCAGCCTGAGCTATATAGTGAATTCACAGCCTGCCCAAACTACCTAGTGAGACCCTGTTTCAAAAAGCAAAAAGAAAAAAAGAAACTACCAAAACATTAGAATGAAGAAGTAGTATAACATGCAAATTTAAATTCCCATCTTTTTACTAGCCAAGTGGCCCTGGGAAGAGTTAGCGTCAGTTCCTTCACCTGGAAAACAAGAAATTATCTTTACCTTGTAGAGGTAAATAAAGAACAAAAACAGGTACTTATTAATGAGAAAGTTTAATAAAATATGGAATGTTTTTTGTTTTTGAACTATCACAGTAAAACACAATGGTGTTGACCTTGGAAATACTTTAAAAACTACAGACTATCACTGCACAGATCACAGCATTTTATTTCTGATTTTTAAACTTCTAATTTCATTTAGGGAAAAAAAAAATGATGAAACCACACAAATGCCCAAACATGAATTTATATTCTTACAGATTATCAGCGATTATTTGTAACAACATTGATCAGTTATTCCTAACTCCTACACCTTCCATTCAAAAAAAAAATCTTGAAGTACCAGACTATTAATATAATAGCCGCAGGTGGTGGCACACGCCTATAATCTCAGTACTCAGGAGGCTGAGCCAGAGAATCCCTGTGAGTTCAAGGCCAGCCTGGGCTACATAGTGAGATCAAGACTAGCCTGAACTACATAGCAAAACCCTGTCTCAAAAAACAAAGACAAAAACAAAAGTAAACAAATATATATATCCCCTTAACTGAATCACCAATTTAAAAAAAGCTTCTTTTACATCCATAAGGACATGCATCTCATAAGCAACACTGTACAGTGGTACTTCTGTTCACGAACACTTTGCGGGGGGGGGGGGGGGTACCGGGGATCAAACTCAGGACCTTGCACTTGCGAGGCAGGCTCTAGAATCACTGAGCTAGACCCCTGGCCCCTATTCACAAACACTTTTGTTTGCCAACAATCTGGTTCATAAACAGAAGCATTTGGCAAAATATTGTTTTTGTTTGTGAACTTTGCATCTGGTAATCAATACAACCATGGCCATCTTTTCCAGAACGGTAGAATGAATTAAGTTTGTGAACTAAGGTACTACTGTACTTAGTACAAAGCAAAATCACATTATTTAAGGAAAAAAAAAAAAGCTTTTAAATCCAGCTAGGCATGGTGGGATACTTCTATAAGCCCAGCTACTGGGGAGACAGAGGCAGGAAGACAAATTCTTTTTCTTTTCTTTTTTTTTTTTCTTGGTAGCGGGATCAAACTTGGAACCTTGCACTTGTGAGGCAAAAGCGGTGCCTCTGAGCTAAATCCCCGGCCCTAACCTAAGACAACAAATTCTAAGCCAGCCTGAGCAACTTAGCGAGACTCTGTCTTTAAAAAAAAAAAAAAAAAAAAAAAGCTGGACTGAAGCTCACTGGCCTAGCATATGCCTAGCATGTTCAAGGCCCTGAGTGCCATCCCCAATACTGCTGGGGGGGGGGGGGTGTGACAAAATTGCATGCAAAATAGGAAATTGAAGTGTAATCCCCCCACCCCAAAAAAAGGATGGAAGGAAGGAGCTATGGTGAAGCATCCCCAAGGTAAATCACCTACCCCTGCCCTGGAGTATCACATGGTAATTTGCGTTTTCGTGTATCAGTGGCCAGTGGATCCAAAGGGTTTTCTCCTAATCCACTCATCTTGAATATACATCAGCAACTAAGAAAAAAAAAATGAAAGTATTATAAAGCATCTGCATCTCTGTAGAAGTGCTGTATGATAGACTCAATCCTATGATTCAGAAATACTTTTTCAATATTCTGTAGCATAAATAAGCATACTGAAAACAACCTCAGAGTTCAAGTTCTATCTTATTAGAGTATTCAACCTCAAGACAGAAATGTTTCTCGGGTTCTAGTAAAAATACGTATATTGACTCTCACAAGGAATCAAGAAAGATCTTCATACTTAACAACAAGAAACTGACAAGATTCCAACACTGATAATTTTCTGGATTTTATTTATATATATCCAGGTAGACCACATAAAGATTTTCCCATGACTAGGTAAGAAGTCTTCAAATGATAAACATAAATTATTTGGGCTATTTTTATAAATAGCCCTTTTCCATTAGATCATTTCATTATCATTTATCATCTAATGTGCTTTCTTCTGTTATACCAAAATAAACCTAGATTGCATAAATGGCACCCTATAAGGTGGATGTGAAACAATAGAACTTAAGGTGAAGGGGTTGGCAATGAGCCACAGATCAACAATTACTTTAACATTAGCTGATGGTAAAATAATATGCTGTGGTTAAAGTCTCAATAATGAAGAAAATAAATATAGGGTATTTCTTATTGAGGAAAAGCAGCAGATTTTAATATTCAATAGATCATAAGACATCTACTAAGCCTTCATTTTCTTACATATTTTATGTGTGCTAAATTCTTGTTTAGAACAGGACAATCATTGTTCTAAAGAATGCCATGTCAGGCCCGCGGATTTAGCTCAGTGGTTCTGGCGCCCGCCTCGCAAGTACAAGGCCCTCAGTTTGATCCCTGGTACCCAAAAAAAGAATGCCATGTCAACCAACAAAGCTCAAACATTCTAAACTGTATTTCTAATGTTGAAATGCACAAGGCATTCTAGCTACTCTGTAAAAAGTGGACACACATTTCCACCAGATGGCACACCACTACCACAAGGAGGACAGTACAAATGAAAAACTTCATCCAAGATGCTGATCAAACTTAAAACAATCAAAATCAGGACTAATCAGAATTCTGGATTACTGCACCATCTTTACAGATAAAACAGGTATACATTAAATGTAAACAAAGTTCATTTTATACTTTTGGTAGTAAAATGTAAAGGCTGACAAACATGTTTTAAAGATTCGCTGGGGTTTTTACCCTGGCTCAATATTATGTGAAAGTATACACATGGCACCAGGGATTTGGTGCAGTGGTTCCGCCGCCTGCCTCACAAGCGCAAGGTCCCGAGTTCGATCCCTGGTACCAAAAAAAAAAAAGTATACACACAATCTCAGGGGTGCTGTATTTTCAAAAATATCAAGGTCAAAATAAAATGTTACTGTCATAAATGATAATGTCTGTAAAAACTGTCTTGATTTAAAAAGCTAAAAAGACAAATACTATATTTGCATGGTTGGGCCTGGTGGTACATACCTGTAATTCCAACACTTGGGAGGCTGCGGCAAAATTGCCACAACTTCAAGACCAGCCTAGACTACATAGCAAGACCCTGTTTCAAAAAATAAATATATAGATACTGTATTTGCTCCTAGAATTCATCTCATACTAGAGGGGAAGAAAATGCTATAAGGACATTATCCAATCTACTGATGAAATTACAATATGGACAACACATAAAAGATAAAAGTATTTGTTGAGATACAGTTTTGCTACATAGTTCAGGCTAGCCTTTAACTATGTAGTCCAGGCTAGCTGGAACTCAGAGCGATCTTCCTGTCTCAGCTTTCCGAGAGTTGGGATTACACAGACACGTGCCACCACGCTCAGCTCAATAAAAGTTATTTTATATGAATGTAAATTCACTGAAATTGATGTATGAACTGTGGTTATTTAAAAGACTATATGCCATGCTGGCCTGGCAAGTGCAAGGTCCTGAGTTCAATTCCTGTACTGGGAGAAAAAAAAAGACTATCAATATTCTTAGCATTTGGGCTAAGGAGCCATTAGTATGCAAATGACACTCAGAAGGCTGGAGTACAGTATTGTGAGAGTAAACCAGGCAGTGGAAAAGAAGGATTAGAAGGGAGCTGGAGAAAGGGCGATGAAGGGATTAGGGTAAAATAATGGCATTGGGTGGATCTTGATGAAGGGAAGAAATTTTTAAATCTTTTGTACTATTTTTTTTCTTTCAAATGTGCTTTAGGGCCGGGGATTTAACTCAGTGGTTCTGGCGTCTGCCTCCACCCAGAAGGTTCCGAGTTCGATCCCCGGTACCCGCCCCCCCCAAAAAAAGAAAGAAAAAGAAATATCTATCAAATGTGCTTTAAATTTAATTTGTTTCCAGGGCCAGGGATGTAGCTCAGTGGTGCTGCCGCCTGTCTTGCAAACACAAGGTCCCAAGTTCGATCTCCAGTATTAATTAATTAAACTTGATTCTAAATAAATATTTAAAGGTATGTTCAGCTTTTATTTTTCAATTTTTATATTTAAAAAGAACAGTAATCCCTTAAATACAAAAGTAAATTAATTCTTGCTACTTATCGGTTTTTCATTTGGTTCATGCAAAGGTCATTTTTAGGTTGAACAAGATGGCACATGCCTATAATCCCAGCTACTCAAGAGGCTGAGGCAGGAGAATCTCAAATTCAAAGACAAGAGTTGCCTGGGCAACTCAGTGCCACTCTGTTTCAAAATATTTTAAAAGGGCCAGGGACATAGTTCAGTTGTAGAATGCTTGCCTAGTATGCACAAGACCCTACTGGGTTCAATCCTCAGTACAAGGTGGGGAAAAAAATTTTTTTTTGGTATGGGGTTGTGGGGGATTCAAACTCAGGACCTTGTGCTTTTGAGGTAGGCAGTGGCACCACTGAGCTAAATCCCCAGCCGAGGGCGGGGAAAGGTTTTGAGTGGCAAACTAACCACTGAATAATAATATCTCTTTATTTTAAAGATACAATTTAGGGCTGGGGATTTAGCTCTCAGTGACGCTGCACCTGTCTTGCAAGTACAAGGTCCTGAGTTAAATCCTGAGTACTAGACCAAAAAATAAAATAAAGATACAATTTATTCCACATTTTAGATATTATTTTCTTACTCTGGTATGAAGCATAAACTGAATCTCTAAAACAGTTTAAAGGGACTAGGGATTTAGCTCAGTGGTTCCGCCATCTGCCTCAAAAGCACAAGGTCTGAAGTTCGATCCCCGGTACCAATAAATAAATAAATAAATAAATAAATAAATAAATAAAACAAGCAAACAAACAGTTTAAAAATCATTCAGTGACTAATATCATTTACTTAAATTGAAAGAGTTTAATCTAGATTTTCCATATTACACCCTACCTTGCTGTGAAATATAAGATTAATAGTACAAGGTGCCTCACATGTGAAGGTGACCAATATATGCCTTAAATAAATATTGAATAATAAAAGGAATGTTCAACCTATTAAATATTTTTAAATTTCCTTCACTTTGATCTTTGTACTCAGTTGATATAGAATATTACTGCAATGAATTTTGCCAGCATAAATTATACCACTAGAGAGCCTACACCAAGAAAATCTTTTAGGAAGACATCAATAAACACAATTATAAGCTTAACTAGAAATGCATACAAGGCAGCTGTGTTAAATCAGTGTTTATGTGCATACAGACCAATCTGAATGTGTGTGTGCACAGACAGTCACATGTGGTTCTTTCTCAGATCAACAGAAGCCTGTGGAAGTCTCTGTGCTACAAACTTACTCTTTCACAGAAACTGACAATCACTAGTAACACAATTATCCAAAAACTCACTAATGCAAAATCCTAACATAATCATGGTAAGAGTACACCCAAGCATGAAAGGTATAATTATTTAAGATATATTATATGTATTCTATATCTTTTTTTTTTTAGGAATAATTTTGGCAGATTTCTTTTAGAAAGGTTTTACTTAGACATGACAAAGATTGGTACATTTATTAGTCTACTGTACAGAACAACTCTGTCCAATACAGAATGACAAACTACTGGACAACAAAACTCAAAGTAATGAGAACACATCGCCTAAGTTTCATTAAACTAATAATGAAAATGTTCAACATGAGAAAAAATTTCTGTTCAATAATTTCAATATATACAATAACTAATATAATTCCTGAGGACAAATGACTGACAAATACTTACAATCTCTATATGGTATTAATCTTAGTTATTATAAACATCAAAAATTATAAGTAACATTTGCTTTACCAGGTTTGTCTACATTATCACGAGAGGACATATTATCTAGTTTGGCAGACAACTCTGAAAAGTATAAGATAAATGCCTGTTTTATAGATATACTAAATCTAGACCATTTTCAGTCAGTCAAAAATGAGGTGGCAAGGGGGAAAATGCAGTATATATCAGTCCCATGAAGTACACAGATTTGTAACTGTATAGCTTACATTTTTTACATTTTAAATTACAACCCAACTAGATTTTGAGGATATACGGAATTCGAAAAAATCCATCTTCAAAAGAGAATATAGCACAAGAATCTCTGAGTATGTCTGATTATAAAATAGCCTGTTAATATTCAGTCCTTTCTAAATTCTGATTCCCTATAATTCACGATTATCACCTACACAGTTGAATGGAAAAGAAGTTAGGACCACAATATATATTTGCCCCCCACAACCTGTGCTCTTAAGGTCACGTTGTAAACCTAATAATGTCACACAAAATATTATTTTGAAGTTTCCAGTGAAGAGGGTCCCTCCAATTCATGTTAAACCGCAAATTCATCTTTAATGAACTTCCCAGTAGAGCACAGGAGGCGTTTCAAGCCCTTTACTATACAGTACAGGAAAGTACTAAAGTGAAGAACTTTCACTGAATCAGAATCAAAGGCTCAAAACAAATTCAACCTTTCAATGTGAACTCTACACACTAGATCCTTAAGGCATTTTTATAATTATTTTCCTTGTCTGAAATGTTCCTACTAGAGTTCTATGCCTTATACTTCAGGGCAT